AGAAAATACATTCTTTTTACCATTTATGTTTTCAGTAATTGCCTCTTGAAAAGTGAATATGTTACATGAGTATGAAAATACTCATATATATTTCTTCCATATATGCCTGTCCACTTTTGCTACAGAGCTTATGTTTTTATGTTCACATCTAGGATTCTTAGAAAGCATTTTTCTCAGAGTATTAAGCAACTGGACAACAGTTCATATAATTTAATGAAGGTTTTAATTACTAATCTAATACAATTTGCTGGCAGAGATGGACTTGGTGAAGCCACTGAGAATTGGTCTGCTAATAGCTACAGGGGAAAAAAAAGAATGAATCCCTGCATTACATGAATCTCTAAAACAATGCACATTTTTATAGTTGGAAATTGGCACAGATGGACTAGAAAATAGGCCAATTAAATGTTGCACTAAATATATATATTGCTGGACTCCACAGGCAAGTTGTCACTTTCTTTCCATAGGATTATAATTTTACTACAATTATTTAGGAATACAGAGAATGTGGTTTCCCTGCAAACCAGTTGCATGATGGCTTAAAATAGTTACTTCCATTTCATAACCTGTAGTTCAGTTCCTTTGTTATTGGTGTTGACACTATAAAGAACACAAGGATCTATCTGCCTCTTTAGGAAACAGTCAATACATTGCTCAAATGTCTTCAAGAGAATCTTAGCACAACTAGCATGCAAAGCTGAACCTTGAGTATGGTGTAGTTATTCCCTGTAAGAGCAGAATACCAGCATTTTCAGTATTCTTTCCCCAGCCTGCTCTGTCTGAAGGGAATATATCATGGTTAACTGCAGGAGATTTAGACTCTGATCTTCACAAATTGAATTACTTGTTATTTTTGTTTTTGTTTTTCCGAATTCCTCTATGTTACTCTGAAAAATAACATTTGTTTTTGTTGCATACTTCAGATTTGCTCCTTTTTTTTCCTGTTGTTGCAGTAACTTAAGGTATTTAGCTTTTTTTGTCCTCCAAAAACCTAAAAGAGAACTACAATTTATTATTTGATCTATTCTTTGAAAGATAAAAAACAAACAAACAAACAAAAAAAAAAACAACCAACCAACCAAAACCCATTTCTATTCCTAATAAAACAGACTTGTATTACTATTATTATAATGACATTATAAAGAGAAGGCTGTGTTTCAGGCAGAACAGTTTGCTTTTCAGAATGATTTTTGAAAAGCCAACTGATGCTTATTATCTCTGCTGCAACTGTAACATCCTCTTTTTGGTATTTTCCTAGAAACTTTCAGGTTATATAATCTCTCTTTTTTCCTACCCTTTTCAGAGTAATTCCACAGTCCAGTGTTCAGAAAAATAAAACCTCTGAACCTAGCATTTCTGACAATACAGACATTACTAAAAGAACTACCAGGTCTGCTACAAGAAAAAAAAACTTAAAAAGGTGAGAGTTAACATCTTTAAAGATCCAGTAATTTTTCTGTAGACAAATACTTTGAGCTGTTGTATCCATTGCTGATAGGGGTTTCTGCCACAGTCTGACTCCTTCTAGCAATGAGAAACGTGAAGCAATTTTATGGTTTGTCATGTATTGAGAATATCTGGAACCTTAAATCTTAAGGGATTTGCATATGCTGCTGAGCCTTTCAACTTTTGGAATTTTATGTTGTAATTCCTAATGTCAACAAGAATTCCTGAAGGTGAGGGATTTGGGGAACAAAAAAGCCTTTCATTACTAAACATCTGCCTGGAGGCAGAGGCAGAAAAGTTCACAGCATTAAGCATTAGTTAGCGTGCTAAGTCAGCACTAAGAGGAATTAAATTTGATGTGGACTACTGAAATGCAGTGTTAGGAAGAATCTGGTGGCAGGTAGGTGAAGTGTCTAAAATGTACATGCATGTGGATATGAGATTTTGTAATGAGAGTATCAGTGGTAATCTGGACCGAACCTGTTCAGTCCACATATGTGTGCATTCATGCCCCTCTACTGCAGCTTTCCAAAGCATTATCAAAGATGAGCCTGAGAATGTAACTGGATACAACTTTCAAGTAATTTTCAGTGGCTTCAAATGACCAGAATCTGACTTAGGCTTGTAGTGAAAAACTTTTGAATGGACCTGCCAGGTGATGAAGAGATGTTTTTTGTGGGAAGAGAAAAGGTGGTGAATAACAAAAAGAGGAAAAAAAAAAAAAAAGAAAAGAAAAGCTTGTTATGTGGCTCACTTTATAAATATTGCTTAAAATTCCAGATTCTTGTGCAGTTTTTTTCCCTATAGAGCTCTTCTTTCCCCAGCCTCATCCTTTTTTGCAGGTAATGGAAGTTACAAAAAATCCCCTCTACTGGGCAAAGGAAATAGTCTAATGAATAGCAGTCTGAAGGAATATGCTAGTCAGAATTCTCAACAGCAGCCATATGAATTTTATGAATTATGTTTTGATTCATAGTACAATACATAAGAAATGCTTTATCTTTCCTGAAATGTGTGCTTCACTAAATACCTTAGCTCCTTCACAGAGGTTTGTCTCCATTCTGCATTGTTTTCTCCATGTCAGACAGACCGATGGGATTCTGACAGCTTTTTTTTTCTTCATGCCTCTCCAGTTTTAAGCTACTTGCAACTCCTGGTAGATGTACACATGCAGATGTGTAACTGAACAGAGATGTTCAGTTCCTGAAAAGCATACCTTCATGTAGATGTTTGTGTTGTGTGAGATGAGACTACCCATCCCTAGGAGGAAACAGTATCCCTAAAATAAAGTTAACAGAAGACTTCCGGTTTTAAATGAAGGATCAGATTTTAATTCATCTCAAACTTCATAAAGGATTTTATATTTTAATGTATTTTCAAAAGCTTCTACCCCAAATATTTCAGTCTGTGTACTGTGTCTTCTAATTCTTGAGATCAAAGAATGTCAGTCAGTTTATGCTTGGATCAAATAATCAAAGTAGTCACATACTTATTGTCACAGTTCTGAAGTTCTTAATTATCTTCTTATCTGAGAGGGCTAATTGGGTTGTGGTGCCTCTAAAGGCTACTGCAGTGTGACTGTATAATTTCATGGACTTCCAATTTAGTACCTCGCTATTAATCCTGCAGGTGTCCTTGCATTTTTCTTGTAGCATTTGGCAAAACATCACTCTTTTTTAAGCCTTCCTTTCTTTTTTTTCCATGTCTATTCACTTGAAGCTTATACAAACGTCTTGAAGTCTGTGAATTTGCATTATTTCAAATTGACCCATTCCAGATCAAATAGAATGCAAGGTAGAGGATAATAATTACTGTTGAAAAATAGAATTCATGTCCTAACCAACATCCATCTTTGTTGAGGTCCTGTTGCCTTTTCTGAACTTCTGACATTGACGTAGGCCTTTATACTTCTGTTTTCTTGTCTGTCTGATGTATTCCAGTGAAAACATCTTGCAGTGTTTATGTATGAATCTTATCTGATGATGCTCTAGGTCATTTTACACAGTTCTTACTGTAGATGAATCACATTTGTGACCCATCCTAATGCAGTATGATCTGCAGAGCTGAGTAATGCATCTACAATTTCGTCCTTCAGACTGTTGGAGACACTATCTTATAAAGCGACCCCAGTATGGTTCTTTAGCCAAAACAGCTCTTTGCAGCTAATAATACCCTATTCTGGTTTTGCTGAGGAATCTGAGAGAGTTTAAATACCATTAACAATGTTCATTGTGTTTCCTTTGTGGAACATCTCTAGATGTCACCTGCCATCTACAAAAGACCAGTACCAGTGGATGCAACACGTTGTCTCTTGCGACTGAAATAACGTTGTCATTGAACTGCAAGAAATCACATTACTGAAGTATTCTTCACAGTCTTTTTCCATGGATGCCCCAGGTCTATTCTTGTTTCTCAGTTAGGATGTGTCCCTTGTAGATCTCCCAGTTACTGAGAAGTCAGCAGTTGTATTTTAGCAAGATGCATATACCAGATCACGCTAAGGACAGCTGCATCATTTTCCTCTCCTTCCCTCCTCACTTTCTTGATACTAAATCGCTTTTAGTAGATGGAACAATGTGCTATTTCAGCTGGAAAAGTATATAGGATGGAAGAGCAATCCTAAAATCTTAACCCTTAACATCATTGTCCATGCTCGATCCCAAAGATCCCCAACTGGAATAGCATCCTCACTTAACAGCTGGACTGGCAGAAATGCATGCCTGACCTGTGCTTGTGCCAGCACAAGAACCCTATGCATCCTGGCCAACAGTGTTCCCCTTTCATATAGGTACTTCAAAAATTCCCAAACAACTGAAATGGTATTTCTGTATTATCACACATTACAGATGTAGGATTACGGATGTCATTAGTAATTGGTTAGAAGTGGAATCTTGAACTGTGAAGGAATTTTGATAGGTAGAGAGGTGTTTAAGGAAACAGAGGTCAAGTTATTACAAGAAGAAATAACTGGGGGACAGGAGAAAACGTGTGAAAGCCATATCATTTAGTTTCATTTACTTATTTTAACTAGAAAGGTTTATCATAAAAACTAACAAAGAAGAGTATGCTTTTAAAATCTCATATGCCTTTGCTTTGCTTGGAATTGTAAAGCAGCCTTCTGCACTCTTGTTCAAACACTGAAAATTGCTTGCAGCATTTTGGAGCTTATCTATATGTAATCTAAATCTAGTTCTAAATAAATGTTTCTTTATTATTCTTTCTACTTTACTGTTTCTTTCCTACAGTCTGATAGTTCAGAGGGAGAAAAGGAAAAAGAGTGCTTTACAGCAATTGCGATTAATGATTGTATGGTACTTTGAATCCTTTGTTGCTTTTCTGTATGAAACTGACCCTTTCTTTCTACTGTCTATGATCAGACCAGACTGTGCTTTATTTATAACCGGTATTGCTATGCTCCTAAATGCAGTGACATTTATCTCCTGTTCCTTTTTTTGATGTAACGTTTGCTCATTTTTTTTCTTGTCAGCAATGTTTACTTGAAATGTTTTTTTAGTGCGTATTTAATTTTTTTCTTCAAATATGTTTTATTTCAGCAGCCAGTCCATCCCAAGGACTAGAACAGTATTGCGTTAAATTTCAAACAAGCAACCAGTATTGAAAGGGGATATCCAGGAATGAAGGGGATACAACTATAACAGACTTGATGCAATTCTAGGAAGATGACCTTGGCTTCATTTCTCAGCAAAGGTTAAGCAGAAGGAACTCCTTCGTACTTGTAGAATAAAATGAACTGTCAACATGCCCAATAGACAGTTTCCTAATTGCTAACACTTCCTCAAACAATGCCAACAAAATCTGTGTAAATTCAGACTCAGGTGTAAATATGTAAGTTCTCTATTATAAAGAGGGCTTCCTAGTATATATGATGCATGTGTATAAATTGTGATGGCAATCACTTATAGCTGCTGACCACCAGAAGTGAAAAGATGGTGGGAGTTTTTAAATATATATCTGTGTTGTTCATTCAGACTGGGCTCAAGTCTCCACTTGAGACTGAAACTCAACCACAAAGGCTTTTTACTTGTAGTATGGGTACTCTCCTGCGTTAATTGGCTATTGTTTCTTACTTTGTATGACATTTTTTTATGAAGCCGCAGTGTTGAGAACACAGTTAACTATTGTCCACCAAAGAGTGCTTTATTTTCAAAGTTTTTTTTCTTCTCTTTAGTTATGAAGATAAAAAAACAAAACAAAAAACAAAACTAACAGAAAGCAATTATGTTGCTTTTAATAGTAATGAGTTTTTTAATTGTTCACAACCACTGGTTCTTTTACCTAATAGGAATTGCTTTAAATCTGGTATGATTTTAATAGGGAGGAAAAACAGCTTACCATTTAAAGCAGTGCTGTCATACTGAAATGTCATTACTGTTTCTTTTCATATCTTCAAGTCTTTTAAGCGAGACTTTAGATAACTGTACCTGAAAGGTAAGACTTTTTTTTTTCCCCAGGTTTTATTGGTACATTTAATAACTTATGAATGTCACTGTTTTTTTTTTTTTAACTTGAAGACACTTAATGCGTGCAGCACCTTAAAAAAAAAAAAAAAAAGGAAAAATAAGCTTGCTGTACATCTGAGATTGGTAGTGGAACTCAGGGGCAGGTATAATTATTAACATCTAATTATAACACATTAAAAACTACAGCTTACCTCTCAGTTAAAAGCGGTGTAAGTTTTAGAGCAATCTGAGGCTGAGATTTTCATCCACTACAAGACTGTCTTCAAACACTGGCAGCCTTTTTTCTTTACCACTTTTCACACTATGAAATCTCAAAGGCTTGCTTTGCAGCAATTCATCCTTGTCTGCCGGCTGGAAGTTCATAGTTGCGTGTCCCTTAGACGAGGACTGGTACCACATAGCCTTAAATAGAATACAGTTCTCTCTTGATTTGGTAACTCTTATAGTAGAAAGGAGTTGAAAATTACATCTGGAGAGTTAGCAACAGAGTTTTTAAACGATACGGATCACCTTTGCAAGGGGGAGAATTTTCTTTCAATGAATGTAAATAGGCAGGAACAGTGACTAGTTCCAGCCTCTTTAAATAAAAGGAAGTTTTCTGTTATGCTGGTAGTTTCTCAATGCCACTGTGAATAACCACACATTGGTCTGAATATTTTTTTTTGTGGCAGAACAGTGCACCATGAGTTGGAGGGGAGGCAGGATATAAAATGTATGTGAGCTTACAGATAGCATCTGTGAGTTTGGGTACTACAGCTTTTCAAATATGAATACAAAGAGAACAGGGAAGGCTTGCATGGTGCGAAATAAGGAGCACTGAGGCTTAGACCCTAAATATTTTTGGTTTACCACTTAATCATCACCCTCACCTCCACTCTCTTCTAGGTGAAGCACACCTAAAAGAATGAATTCACCCTGATAAAAAGATTAAAGTTTTTTTTTGTTTTTTTTTTTCTTTTTGGCCCTTTGCCCTAAAGGGGAAGTACAGTTGGTCACAATAACAAGTATGTTGTGCAAATACAATTTTTTTTTTTGAGGAAAACTATAATCTTGAGAATATGATCAGTAAACCGATTTTAAGTCTTTTTAGGCAGAAAAAAATGTATGAAACTAGTGTGGTGAGAGCTAAACGAAAATTTCATTAGTATTTGTTTGGCTTTGCCCATCTCTCAGATGAACTGATTTTTAATGTAAAAATACCCCTTCAAAATTCCAAATTGGAATTTCCCTTTTTTAAAGTAACCAGCAATGCCAGTAGCACTTTCAGGTTCATCAGAAGAAATTTGCATAAAATAAGTGCACAAACAGACACCACAGCAACTCTAGCTAAACCAAAACTTCATGTTTGGCATGAATGTGTTTCAGGCTACCCCTTTCACTGCTAGTTACCGTGGTGAGAAACACAAAACTGTCAAACATTTTACATTGGAACTCTCCAAACAGCCTTATATGGTGAATTAACCCATTACCTCATTGTGTCCCATCTAATTGTGTCTGTTAGTTTGTATGAGTTTTTAATACTTTGTCTTGTATTTTTATTATACCATACCAAAGCTGTCTTAAGTACAAGCATAAGGAATAGGTGTGGGTGATGGAGTCCTTGGGTTCCAAATCTGTTTTGAATTGTGACATACCGTGTGCCAAAATTAAATGTGCATGGCAGCAGTGCAACAGAGCAGCTGAAGGAAGTTATTTCTGCTGTTCTCGATAAGGAGTTTTGGTTAATCTTACAAATTCTCTTTCTTCTTTCAAATACATGAGAAATGAATTCTTCCATGATGTTCAAAAGTATGCAACATACTTGAAAGCTGTATTATCTTAGATCAAATTGCCAGCTTCCATTACAGCATCAGACCTTGTCCTTTTGCCCCAGGACAACAGAGGAAGTGCTGCTTTTATTTTTTTATTTTAAAAAAGATTCGTAGAGACTCATGCATTAAAATGGAGAAAAAAAAATTACAAGTGATATTCACCAGTTTGTTGCACTGCAGTTTTTATATTAATGGTTTGCAGACTGTTTGTCTTGTGTAAACCCATGTACAGACTATCAAGATCTAGAAGTCCTTGACTAATCAGTACTGTTCATCCTGATTATTTTTAAATTGTATATTTCTAATCATATTTTTTTAACTTGGATTGACAGAATGGGAGTTTATTTTGCTGAAGGTATTTTTAAGATAAAGCTTCATATTATCTTGTAATATCAAGTAGTTCAATATGCATTTGTGTGTCATTTGAAAATATTGCATATTGTATTTGGTTTTATACAAAATATTGAATAGTGAAAATTGTAAACCTGAATTGTGTAAAATTAAAAATAATAATCAGAAGTTTGTTTTCTCACCTTTATTTCCAGCATTCTAAAAGGAATGTCAGAACAAAAACATATTTGTACAATTTTGACTCTTCTGTGCTCTTAAAAATAATGAGAATCTCACCTGCCTGTGAAATTTTAATTAAAGCATGAATCTTTCACATTTTTTTCTGATTTGAAAGATAAGCTTTGGCTCTGCGTTTCAGAGGACTCACTTCAGAAAATAATGGTAATTGTACTTGAATTGTTGGAATACTCTTACCCAATGTATATATATTTATACTCACATATAGTTAAACCAAAATAACTGGTTCTAGTTAACCTAAGTTAAGGCTGGGCTTATAAAGACACTGCGTGCTTTAAGCTTAAATAGCTGAGTCCATTGATGACAATATTTGGCAGGTTTTTTTGCTTTTTTTTTTTTTTTTGATGGGGAATGGTGAGGGTGTAGATCCAGACATTCTGCCCTTTAAACAACTGCTTTCCGAGTCAGTGTCTTTCCCTTCAAACTCCTTCCCAATATACAAGCCTACTAAAAAGTCTGGCAAAAAACGCACCACCGGGACAGCCCAGCAGCAGTTGCTTTTTGTCCGTGCTGCATGCTGATGTGCTCCACGCTGCTGCGTCACTACCACAGCTGCCTCCCAGCCTGTCCAACTACCCCAGGTGCTGCACACCAGTCACGCCATGAACAGGACAGAGGTAAGTCCTAAACTGCTTGTTCCTGCAGGACTGAGGGAGCAGACAATCGACTACCCTTGGGAGCAGCTAATGTTAAAGTAAGAAAACCCAAAATGCTTGCTGCTAATAGCAGGAATGTAGCCACTTAAGCAAGCGTTGAAGCAGACTGAGTCACACCATCACGGATTTACCTTTACCACCATCAGTGCTTTCATGCCATCCCCCTTAAGATGAGGGTAGGTCATTTCCTCAGTTTTTTTCATGGTGGAAGGGCTCAGTTTCCCCATTACCCCTCCTCCAAAAAGAGTTTCCAGCTAAGTACACCTGAGTTTCTTTTCAGGTTTGAGTTCTGTCATAACAAGACTCTACTCTTCTGTTCCCTATTCTTCCCAAAATATTGTGCTTCTGGGACTGAACCTTTACTCAGTACTTAAAACAGGCAACATTTGTCCTGCTGCTATGCTTCCAGGTGCTTTTTTGTCCACCCCTTCCCCTTTCACAACAATATGTACTTTATTTTTTAAGTGAACCATTTAATGCTGGCTCCCCTCCTGCTCCCATACTTAAGGATTTCCTTCCCCTCCTCCCATTGATCAGACATGTTCCACCCTTTGACTAGAAGCCTGAACAAAAAAGGCTCCCAAGTTTTACGTTCTCTCATTTTCAAGGTATGCAGCCTTTACTAGGGCCAGAAAAAACATCTGATTTATAAACATGAAGAACGCAACTAAATCACACCTCACCCAATGAGCATGCGATTCCTGGATTATATTATGTCAACTTCCTTTTTCTCTTGTCAGAAGAGAAAAAAGTAAATCAACACATTTTGCTGGTATTTTTCCCTTTCAACAAAGCTGTCCCATTAATTCATTACAGTCTGTAGAAGTTGCCGTCTTTCATTCAAGCAGTTAATACTGCACAGCTCTAGACAGAGGACCTGTCTTTGCTGGAAGGTGGCAGCAGCTTATAGTGTCCTGTTAACCAGCTGTAAGTAAAACAGACAAAGGAATGCTGAAAATTTTTATTGACACTGGCTACCCAGGACAGCAAAAACTGTACTCAAACCATTAAGTGCTAGCTTGTCTCAAACACAGCACTGCTGTTACATGTGAGGCAGGATTGAAAGCCACTCTGAAGGTTCAGCCATCTGCAACATTTCTTGCATCACATCCGCAAAAGGGCATTTGTTTGCAGGCAAGTAAAACCTGGAGATGTAATGTACATCACATTAAAGTCAAAGTAACAGAGACAAAGGGTAGCAGTTGTTATTTCTTACAATTGATAGACTGAAGGTCCCATCCCGGCAAAGCACAAGTTGCTCAATACTTCCCCAACGTGCCGTACTGAGAGAGGTGCTCACATCCCACAGCTGTTACTCAGTGACTGAGAGTACTTCTGCAGGTAACCATGTTTCACATTCAGTTGTTAGTCCAGGGGTAACGAGTCAGTATTACATTATTTTCAACACTGTATTTACGTGTGAATATAAATACACAGTTTGTGTATCAATGTGTATGTGCACATGTGCCTGTGGCAGCTCTGAAGGGGGAAAATATGGAATGGCATGAGCACAATGTAATACCTGGGAGACAAAGGTGTCCCAGGGCTGCGAGTTTTGGTCTTTGAGCCCAGAAGCTGTGCCAGCCACCTAGCGCTAGATTCGTGTGAACAAGTAGCAGCCAAAAGACCGTTGCCCATGGGGTCATGTACATATATTCCTAATCAACTAAACTTTCCACCAGGGTCTTTTACTTCTGAGTCTATTTATACTCTTATGTTAAGCACAGATAATCCTCCTCTTGCTTTTAAAGGCACTCTCACAGGAATATACCCTTACCAATTGTATACCATGGTACCACGTATGCATCAGGTGGGCTGCATAATATCGAGACTATCAGCTATAAATGAGATCTGTGGAATGACACTAATTCCTTTTTTGCAAACTTTAGAGTTCACTGCTTGGGGGAGTTCCACCCCTCACCTCTTTGAAAAGCGTATTTAAGAAGATAATTAAAATAGACATTCCTTGCATTCATCACACAACCTTCACAAACTCCATCTACATCAACAGAAAATTTCCCACACCAAAAATCAACACATCATCATCACAACACTGACAAAGGTGGACAATTTATACATGCTCCACCTTCATCCCTTTCCCACATTACACCACCACGCTCTCCACGGTTATCACATTCTAACAATGTTCAATCCATGTTTTGCCCACTCTCTCTCCCAATTATTGCCCTTATCTTAAACTCCTCAAGTCCACAGTTTGGTGCCAGGAAGGACTGTGGTGGCTTCACTTCAATGGGCAGCTGAACTGCCCCATAGCTGCTCTCATTCCCCCTCCTCAAAGGAAGAAGGGGAGCAGATAAAACAGAAGGGGTCTCAGGGTTGAGATAAGGACAGGGAGATCATTCGTCAATCACCATCACAGAGAAAACAGACTCAGCACAGGGAGATTAATATAATTTATCACCTATCACTAGCAGAGCAGAGCAGTAAGAAACTAAAAGCAAACCAAAAACGCCTCCCCCTCCAGGCACCCTTTGCAGCTGGCTCTGCTATGACATGGGGCAGCGGCTGGGCTCTGCTCAGGGAGGACACCCCTGCAGCTCCCTTGCCGTGTAAACCCAAAACACGTACATTAACTAAACACAAAGCTCACGTGTAGTTTTCCCTAGACCACTATAGTAATCCTAACACTGAAGTGCCTGTCATAGTGCATTGAAGAGTAAGTAATGTAAGATCTACAACATAATTTCATCTCTTGCTTAGATGCATGCCACATTTTACTAGTGTTGGTTTCTTTATTTACCCCAGACTGCCACTTGCTTTACATGAAGGAGTAAACCTAAACCAGGAGAAATTGTTAGCAGCAGACGTGCTTAACAGATACAGCTGTTTCCATACCTTAAGTATAACAGGTGACTGAGATTTAATATGTTCTCTTTTCACAGCTAGGAAAAATAATCAGATCGCCGTTACCACTTACAACTAGTAACTTCTCTATACTTAGATACTGTAAACTAAAGAAACTCAGGACATGTTCAAGTTTGAAAGTCTGAAAAAGAAAATTATCACACTTAGTTACTCTGACACACTCTTGGCTTAATGAGCAGTAAACAACTACACTAAACCTCACACCTGAAACTTTATGGGAATGTATTTATTTTTTTTTTTTTGTATCAATTAGCAAGTTTTAAAGCCAGACCAACTTTTTTTTTTTTTTTTTTTTTTTTTTTTTTTTTTTTTTACCAGGAGTTTTGAAACAACCTGCTGACCAAACACTTCCTACATAGATACACTTGAACAATTTCTTGAACAGTTAACTGTCCTTTGAGAAGGAAACTATTTGTCGTTCCATTTTAGAATATATAACAGTTAACAGGAATAAGCAGTGACTTTGTAGCAGCAGGAATCAACCTGAAGGAACAAAGTGATCCTTCTGCCCTTTCCAGAGAATGTCTGGAAAGTCAAAACTGAATCAAGTGTATGACGCTACATTCAACATGGCTGAAATGAGTTACCTTTAAGTATTTCACTACTTCCCTTAGCAAAAATAAAGTGTCAGTAAAACGAGCAGCAACAAGAAAAAGCTCTCCACATATATGTACATTCACCCCTGCAGGCAAATAAATACAAAGGATTCATTTTTCCCTGTCCCATGGTAAAAGGGACAAGGAAAAGGGATAAGGAGGGGAAGAACAAGTGAAAAAAAATCCAAAAGCCTCATATGCAGAATCACTTCTGTTTCACATTTGTGAAATTGCCATTTTTGTCAGAAATATTCAACCACCTATTAGAAGAGCAGGCACAGTTAAGTGGTAAATCGCAGTCATTTTCAAGTTGTACCTTTTTTCTACAAGGTCGTTTATGTCATTCATCCTTTCAATTCTATAACTCAGAAAGCATCAGCGTGGTTCCCCCTCATACCAACATGCTTGTTTGCCTTTGCACAGTCTTGCTACTGCAGGCTGTCAGATTATCTCCGTGTCATTAGAAACAGTTCACTGTGGAATTTAAAACCTCATTTTATAGCAAATTGTCATATAATGTAATTTAACAATATAAAAACCTTTTGGGCGGTACTGCTTTGCAGATGATCTGTTTGGAGCACACAGAAGAACATCAGCGGTCTTTCTAGAATGATTACATCTAAGGGCATGAAGCCTTACCATGGAGATGAGATATTTTAAGTTTCTGAGTGCCCTAAGAGCTCACTCCAAAGGCAGAACAGATTGTTAATTCATGCCTCATCTAATACCTGCTCTCAAAGGAGATTGTTTAGAAGTGGTACAAAACAAAGTGAGGCAGAAAACAGGAAGAAAGGTCTACAGCCATCCTGCTTTTCCAGTAAACTGAGAGAGAGTTCAAGTCAACAGGCATTTGGACATTCTTTTGAGGGTGGCAGTTACTTCCAAAACACACAACATAGTTATCCTCTCATTTCTTTCCATCATCAGTTTCTTTCACTATTTGTTTCTCTCAGATTCCTGAGAACAGCTCCAAGCATTCCCTTTGACAGGAAACAAGCTAGGGTATTTGGCTCAAGTTAGAGAAATATGTTAAAACTGCAAGGAAAGGACCATCTCATCTCATCCTCACTGCCACACAATTTTTTTTTATTAAGGCAAGAAATACTGCTGTAACAAGGGAGGGTCAGGCTGTGTGGGAAAGGAATTTGCAGGTGGCTCCGCGCTGTTTCACACATCCCTGAATTAGAGGTAATGAGCAAACAAGCGGTAGAAACAAAAACTTGAGCAAGGTTGAGATAAAGTAAATTGGCTGAAGTGTTAAAGATGAGCTTTGGGAAGTGACCACTTGCTGGCTGGCTCCAGGCACATGCCTGAATGTCTCTAACAAATTGTATGATAGATTCAGGTGCATGGACAGCGCATGGGGCTAGCGGGAAAGTATATGTAGTAGTGAAAAAGGGCAGTAAAGGTCTCCTGTTCAAGAGCCATCAGGAGTCCGTGTCTTGCGTCCTTTCAAGGTTGGGTGTTAGGAAAAGGTTCTTCAGTGCAAGGGTGGTCAGGCACTGGGACAGGTTCCTCAGGGCAGTGCTCACAGCACCGAGCCTGACGGAGTTCAAGCAGTGTTTGGACAATGCTCTCAGAGATAGGGTCTGATTTTTGGGTGGTCCTGTGTGGAGCCAGGAGTTGGACTCCATCTTTGTAGGTCTCTCCAACTTTTCCATCTCTTCTGTGATTCTACGATTTTAGCTTGCAGTTTCTCCTGCTAAAAATGAAAAATTCCTTAACAGTTTGGTTCTGTCTTTAGCTCAAAATTATTTTATTTAACCTTCAGACTCTTAAAAGTAGTTGCAAATTGTCATTTCTTACTGAAGCAAGACTTGTTAAAGTCAGCTACCAAGAGCACCTGCACTGTCTGAAGATCACTTCTGTTCAGAGGTATTTTTTTTTTTCTTTCTTCCAGATGGCAGCCAAACAGCACGGGCTTCAATCTCCTACTCTGACTTGTGAAAATAATAGCTCAAACCCAAACCAATGTGTGCTTTCCTTTATTTGCCCATCTCTCAGTAACTACAACTTCTAACTGTGTAAAATACACATCACCCAGAGAAACACAGCAAGCAGCTTTCAAATGTCTACAGTGAAATAGAGTCCCAACTGCAAACCATGTTCAACAGTTTACATTTGATCAAGCTGTCATGGAGAACTTGATATCATCTCTATATACACATTTTCAAGCACTGTACCCTTGAACTTCATTTGAAGTAGAGTAGAGTAGTAGTAGGCTTGTAGTAGGGTACTGCAAGCCTTCACATCATTTTCACACATGGAAGCAGACACTGGACCCAAGGACAGAATCCCAATCTACTGTTATCTCCAGAACCCATTTCCATTAACAGAGGAGTGCAATCATTCCACACCAAAAAAAAAGAACCCAAAACAGAACAGTTTTTCGTGTAGACTCAGACTTCTTTTCCACACCAGAGCAGAGCTGGCCTCTTCACAGGCTACACCAAAGCTATGCTGATAATACCATTCATGATAGCTCCTTCACGCTAAAGCAGGAAAATCCTCAGGATCATCAGGATTTGGAGCAACAATTTGCACCTATAAAGTGAAAAAGGAAGTTTTATAAAAATGAATCCATTGCAAAACACATGGCAGCGATATACAGACATGTATTTTACCCTGACAAATACTCATTCTTTTATTCAAATTAAGTACTTTATGTAATAGAGATGGATATAAATGACAATCTTATCTCAGAGATTATGACTATTGTAAGCCACACCATGAACCTCTTCAAAATGCTGATTTGCTGGCTGAGCAGGACCAGAAGGTCAAGGGTTCTGAAGTATTTTGATGGGATGGAAAAAAATGTAAAACAATCTCCTCTGTAACATTTTTTCAGAAGCAGCATTGTGTTTTGTTTTGTTTTGTTTTTTTTTTAACATTCTCAGGCTGCCACATATCTGATTGTAGTTTTAAACTCTATGCTCTGATATAAAGAGACTATTTCATTTTTATGAAGCAAACATCAAATTATTTCCATATCATTCTGTAAGTTCCCAACCTTAATTATTTTATTCATGATAAGCAGAACTAAACAGATCTTTGGGGATTATAAAGAATAAAAGTGTAATTTTCAGGTGGCCAAATATATTGTTTTGTTTGTTTGTTTTAAAAAGGAAAAAGGGAGTAGAAGTTTTTTTTTAATGGTTATAAGAAATACTTCCACCACTCCATGTCTTAATCTGCAGGATCCCAGATGTAGTGATCTCATGCTGAGTAATCAAAATACTATTAACATACAGTACTGAAATCTCTTAAAAGGGATATAAACCTTCAGCCATTTCAATTACTTCCCAGTTTTGGTATAAACTCACTGCAGAAACAAATCTTCATTGCGTCCTGTCTTCTAGATAACATTACAGCAACTAGTAATCCAGCCTTTGGAAATTTATGTGTTGGAGTTCCTGAGCCTGAACTGGTATTTAATTTTAAGCAACTTGATATGGGTCAGGTACTGAAAATAACAACACAGGCCAACATACTGTGAGGTAGGCAATAGAAACAAGTCTGTCACTATGGAAATCAGTAATCCCCCCCCCCCCCCCAAGAAACACAGGGGGAAGACAGCCACTACCAAAAAGAATTCCAAGAAAACAAAACAAAAAACACAAACTTTACCATTACTTCTGGTCGAGGTCCCATCTCTTCAACTCGTCTACCACGACCACCTCGTGCTCCTCTTGATCCACGGCCAGGGCGAGGAAGACTCCCAAAGTTAATATCCAGCTGAGATGTTATGTCATTCACCGCTCTTCGAAAGACATGAGAATCATCTTCAAAGTCTTCCTTTTGCAGCTAAAAAGAACATCTGGTTAAGGCCTGTAATTTCCTTACACACCCTTCTTCCCTCCCTGATACACACACGCACACTTGTATTACAAACTAAGCAGCAGATAAATCAAGAAGATGTCCAGAATAGAAGACAGGCCTTAACTTGCAGAGGGTTTGAAAAGATGTGAGACAACTGCCGCTTCCCAGATGCCAGGAATAGTTCTTTGCTGGCTCAGAGAGTCCTTGCAAAACAAATCGTATGTACCAGCTCAGTAACACCAAAGAAGTTTTCAGAAATATGATCTACAAGGTTTTCCTAAGGAACCAGAGAGTCAGGCCTAGACTACTTACTCCTACAATTACCTTCAGGTAATGAAAAGATCATAAGCAGCTACAGCATTTGCCTACCAAATGAGCTGTTAGTAGCTATTTAAACTAAATAGCTGTTTAAACTCTGTGTATTCCTTGTAGCTAGTGGATTTAAGGTTGTTTCCCACTGTAATTTTAATGTGTGTTACAGTTAACATACCTGTAAACTCATCCCATACTGTGATGGGTCACTTATTCTATTCAATGTCTAATAGAGGGATTTGACTTGTTCTTGTCATGTAGTATCTGTACCTCTTCTATGTTCATTTTAATAAGGTCCCTTGATAATGCCAGCCAAGAAAGTTTAGGAGCAAAAAGAACAGCAACTTGCATGCACTCTTCATACACTGTCATACTCTTCCGAGCTTGTAGTAGTTATTCTCCCCAGCACATTCCCACACCCTGGAGAAGGACGGGGCAATGGCATCTGTGACCACCAAAAGCCATGCTAAAAAAGGATGCAGCAACTTCTGTATTAGTGTTGGTCTATGTAAGTGCTTGGTGACCTAAAGTAATTAAGACTCCTCAAAAAGCTGTAAGCTTTGATGTTAGTATTATAACTAGGCAAAGGATAAATGTGTATCAATACATGCATACAGACGTTATTCAAGAATAAGAATTTCATCATGCTAGGCTACAAGGATATGCACATACTTCTGTGATCCCAAAACCTGAAATCTAAGTAAGCAGGAATCTCTGAATCTCCCTGCTTGCCTATCATACCAATAAATTAGAAGTCGTCTCTGAAATATGAATCCCAATAATACCGTGGAATAAAAAAATTCAGAAAAGCATGGGGAAAAGCACATTATTATGAAACATGCTCTCCAGAGCTACTTCTAAGAAGCTTCTAAGAAGCAGGACCCTAAAACTGGAAAAAAAAAAGAATCATATATTCCAAGTGCACAGTGAAAGCTGGGATCCAGCGCAGATGAAAATAGGAGACTTAGCATCCAGACTAAGAGATGCTAAAACCAGAATGCAATATATACGTGCAAATACATATTGGTAATTATGCTAAATATAACTCAAAATTAGTATAAGACGTGTTTAGTAAACCAAGTTTCTCTAGTAGCACTACCACAGATGTACATAGGTGGCAGCAACAAGGACACAGGTTTTATATTGCTAAGACTAAGTAAACTCTAAGGTAGAGCTACTTGTTATATTACATATTTGCATACAAAATGTGGGTGATGCTCTGAGAGAAGAAAAAAGAATAGACAGTAAGTGTAAAGCAAGTTTTGAGGCATGTATGTGATTACAGTAACAAAGTTGGATAGTGATTTGTGTTGAGGTTATACTAAAACTAGTAGAAAGAATAGAGACAGTTTCCTAACCCTGAGCATAAAGCAGAGTTTACAGAATTCCTCAGGCAATGCATGCTTACATCATCGCTATATTTTGACTTGTGAATCACCACTGCTTTGGAAGGAACAGTGGATTCTGGCTTCCGGATGTTGAATTCAGGCTTTGGTCGATTCTGTTGCTGAAGATTTTTCCACTCATCTAACGTCATTTCTTGAACTACTTCTTCAATTGGCTCCCCTTCAGCAACTCTAAAGGTTTATAGTCGTAAAGTAAAAACCATTAGCTTGCAACATGCCAGGATGAACAAGAACACTAATCTCTAAAGTAAGGATAGTAAACAAAACATCTGGAATGTTTCTCCCCAAATTACTATCCTCAATTTCACTTATAACCCGCAGTAGCTTGAGGTACAAGTTTTATGTCAATATAAATTAGAAAACACACCTCTTTGCTTGAAATTAAGTTTTATGAATAAATGCTATCTCTAACCTACTACAGGAGGTTCTGGAGTTTATCCATCCTTATCATAAGTTCAAGCACTTCAAATTCTAGACAAAACCAGGCTGTCTTTTGATCTGGCATATTCTCAATTCTACTGTTTCATCAGAGGATCTACTCCTAGAAAATACAGCCACAGTATAAAAAAAAAAAAAAAAAGTATACTAAGCAGTTCACAATACCCCAGTTGTACAGTTTTATTGACTTACATTGCAAGATGACAATGAGATGGATTTGTGTTTCAGTGCGGCTTTCAGCCATCTAAAAAGACCTGATGACACCATAGGATCTTCTAAGTAATTATTAGCATTTTCTTTGTGAATTTTAGACAACGCTTCTGATGCTTGTTTGACTTCTTTTGTCAGAGGTAGTAGCTCACAAGGAGTCATTATTTATCACCTGCCCGAAACTGACAGATTAATCCTAGTCCACTCTGAATTTGCCACACAAAATGCAATAATGCTGATACGTTCAAGGAAAACATATGGAGTATGTCACAACATAAGGAGTATGCTTTGCATATTTTTGAACTGTAAAGACAGAAGTCCAACGCTGTACATCTGTACTCATAAGACAAGATATGTAAGACTAAAAATCCTTCTCCACACATCACTGCTTGACTACTTCTCTGCCATTTTCCTAATGCTGGCAAAAATTTTCTTGCCCAGAACCAGCTGCTATTATGTTATACTCCACGTGTACCTTTTAAGGATAGTAGCAGGCAGTTATTCCCTCCTTAACATAATCAGACGCAGGAAGCACAACTCACATCACTCTAATTGTTACAATAACCAAATACTATGAGCTATAGGAAAATCTGCACTGTTGACTCCCAGATACTTGAAAAAGTGCTTCTTCCTCCTCCCACCCAGAACTATTACACGTTACAATAGCAGTTGAAGTTGGTTAAGTTTTTCCCTAACACGAAGTTAGTTAAGTATATTCCCTAACACTTATTTTTCCACAAAACCTTTTAATTAGGCTCCTTCTTGTGTGAGAGATACAGATTTGTGCATCTTCATTGGATCACAGTTCCAAGATGTCTTCTATCAAATGCTGATTATCAAGAGCGGATTTTTCTAATATAAATATACAGTTGATTAGATGTAAGCTGGAAATTTGCTTTATCATGGAAGATGCAGAAACAAGTGAACTGCACATTTCATCTCTGAAGTTGTACAAGCCCCTCAGAAGAACACACACTTGAGAGTTTTCTGTACATTTAGAATTAGCAAACAGAAGAACAGCTGTGTGCCCTCTCCCTATGTGACCTTGCAGCATGCCATTTTATTACTTACCAGTCAACTTTATATTCTATTTTACTGAAGAACACAGGATATGACAGGCAGAAGCGTATGAAACACTGAACTGCAGAGTACAGTCTTAATTTTGGTTCTAGGAAGGACAGTTTAAAATGCACTTCATAAAGCCAGTAAATAAAAATGTACAAGTCTACATGTCTACATGCCTTCATTCTCTGTTACTTATAAAATTCCAGCTATATAAACATGAACTTAAAGGTAAAAAGACTGGTAAGCAGTTTGTAATTCTATACTGATTAAAATGATCTGACACTATAATTAGAAGAATTGATAAGGAAAAAATTAACACATTTACTGACTTAAATGAAAAGGATACTGGTGAAAGATGCAGCTACTTCTGGAAAAAAGGCCAACAAATACTTTTTCATGTGTAAGAACATTGCATGAAGAACCGATGACACCCTGAATGTTTAAATTTTCTGTCCTTAACAGTAAGAAACCAGCCATTTTTTGGCCAATTTTCTGAAACTTCAATTCTGGGGACAAGCATTAGAAAAGCAAGACTACTTACAAGCACTCAAGGAAGAAGAAAAGAGGAAAAAAGCTAATAAAAGGGCTTCTATTACAACATTTAATTTCTTCTCAAAATGCTATGTCAAGACAGAATTGGTAAAATGCATATCTGAACTTTAGAAAGCCTTTTGTTCTTCTCTCCCCTTTTCACCAAGTAAGGGAGGCACCTTTCAGTCCTTGATGAAACCTGTAGAAAGACAAAAACAGCTGCAGCAAGTACTTGAGATGTAGCTATCTATCTTCATAACTACAACAGAAAAGCATGCCACCTTCAAGGCCAGCTTTGTGCTGCTACCTGTACTGCAAGAAGTAATACACACTTTCTGCAGCAAAAAGTTCAGAAAGAAAATGGCAAATAATGAATCTATACAAGAATACTGAAGGGCTGACCAAGTGTTACAAGATCCTACATAGAGAAAGTAAGTGGCCCAAAAATAAAAAGCACCATCACCAGGATCTACAAAAGACAAGTAAAAACACTCTCAGGCAAAAAACGTCAGCTGCCCAAACACAGAAAGAAACACTGGCAAAACAGAAGCTCTGAAATAGGGAACATCTCCTACCCAACCCACACAGACTTTCTGCAAGTAACCTAGTCAAACCGAACTTTAAATCAACACTATCTAGTATTATCAACAACTATCATCAACACTACATAGCATTATGCTGCCGAGGATAGGACAAAGACATGTATCAACCTTTTTGTTTGGAGCAGATGTCACTGCTGGTGGGGTAGAACAAGGTCTCAACTGATGAAAGTTTCCATGTGGGAAATTCTGGAGTCCAGAAGAGAACGGCAAGACAGATATGAAGTCAAAAACACACAATATACAGGAAAGTCTTTAAGAAGAGCTGAGGAAGAAACAAATATATAATGCTAAGAAGGAACAAAACAGTGCATGCTGACAGTGATAAAGGCAAGACAATTGGGAGAAAAAAACAAAACCCCTAACTAGTACTTTCTACTTCCAAAGCATTAGAAAGTCTATCAGAGACACTGAAATCCATCATTAGAGGACATCAAAATCAACCACACAGGTATAAGAAGTGGTACAGGTACGATCAACCATGCTTTCAGTCAGCAAGACCCCTTTCAGACTTAGAGTCCCATGATTGTAATACAAGGACACCTCACTATGCAGCAACCTAAATTCCCAGGTGATCACAAGGTAAGATCAATTCAAAGGTGATCACAAGTGTAACTTGGACGAAAACACATCTACCAAAAACAACCACTTGCTTGTTCCAAAGATATAGTGGAGGAGCTACATCACAAAGTTCTGGTTTCTCAACTTTTAAACCATGGTTTGATCTTTACTTCCAGGTTATTAGTGCTACAGATTTGGTTTAGGATGCTGACACTCCCAGGGGGAAGTAACCTTGCTATTACCAAGGCAGAGCAAAAGGAACATGCATGTAACTTTTTGGAGAGAGACTCAACTGAAGCAGATTATTTTGGTCACTCAGACTGCATGGACGTGCACTCTATGCATTACTTGCCACCTTCTTACCTTATTTATTTTTCATAACCGATCACTGTATTTTCATTAATTCCGTGAAAAAGCTCCTTGACACGCCAATGATCAAGCTGGCAAGCACTGCTATCTAAGTACGGTCTCTGGACATGAACAAACTGAATTCCCAGTGCATGTATATATCGAAACATCAGACCAGGAGGTTTTAGTTATGATTCTTACTGCTTCAGTGTTTTCAATGGATTACTATAACCCTCTACCTATACTTTGTTTACTGTGCATACCTTTCCTACAGGAACTGCTCTAAACGAACACAATAGTATGCAGAAGAAACAACTGAAAAGAATGGATTTCAGTTCATCTCTTTGGCTAATTATTTTCATGTCCTTAAAAATATTGAGCTTTTTTGGATCAATTTTTCAGCTGCATAAAGCAAATTCTTATTTGGCTTTTATCAAGAAATCAATAGCACAAATCTTCCCACTGAATAAATAAATCCCACTGAACATCATTTGCAGGGACATTACTACCAGATATAACAAAATCTAAAATTACATAAGGTAAGACCAATCTACAACCGCACAAGTTAACTATAAAAGAAAAGTGCAGAACCAAATACTTAAGGATTTGAACTGGTATACGCCTAGCTTTATGTCACTATTAAGAAACAAGAGAAGTGAGTATGTCAGCAAACTTGATGACAAATTTGGAAAAATTCCTATTAAATGACCAGATGGGTACATATATCTACTAAAAAGGAAGGAGGTCCTATGTCAAGAAATAGAATAAAACATCACAGAATAATTATCAACTCCAGAAATATTTGATAGGGATTAATTAGATTATGTGTTGTACTGAATAAAAAGAAAAAACAGTTTATTCAAGTCATCAACCAAGCGAAGTTGGTTCTATTGTTTGAACTCTGAAGATGAGTTCAACAGAAAGCAGTTGTGAGGACAGCTTATGCAACTGTACAACTTATATATTTTGTACTTACTAGTTGCAGAAAAAAATAGCATGCAATATAGGATACTATAAACAACAGACACTGATGATGTTGAAGCGTCAGTGAAATTTGTCAAGGATATAGCAAGAAGGAACTTAATGTATGAGTATTAAAGAAATTGTTGTCCTATACACTTTGCAAATGGAAACTTAAAAAAACAATATGGACACAGTCCTGAAGGCAAAGACCTCGTAGGTTACAGAACTCTGCAGAAGTCTTTCCAGAGATGCACTGAGGTTGGTGAAGTAACACACCAGAAAGCTATATAGTATCTCCATACAGACAAATTATTCCCAATTGACAGGACTACTACTACTTTTTAACATGCTAACAGTCACGTTAGGAAAGAATGAGAGAAAACACAAAACCAAATATTTCAACTGTCTCAACACAAGCACACAACTGCAGTTAAGCAGAAGAAAAGAAATTGATTCCTCGGAGTTGTTGCATTTAAAGTCAAAATGAGAAAAAACCCTAGCTGTAGCTTGAACAAACATACGTGCCTAGCCCCACAGTGTCAAGGCTGCAGTGAAAGCATAAACTAGCCTTGTCAGAATCTTTTGCTGGTTTATGTTACCTGCCAGAACACAGCAACTCTGGAGAGCAGGGACAACCTAAGCAGACAAGACCTTAAAGTGCATTTTGAAGTATATCATGCCTGAGAAAACATATCCCAACAACTTTTGTTTTTAAATAATTGAAAAACAAAAATACTTTTGCCTCATTTAGCAGTATCCCATCCATCCATCCCTAATTACATCACTACCATTCACACAATATTTCCTCAGATCTTGAAAGATGTGGAGCCACATAAATGCACCCAAAGGTAACTGCAATGAGCTACATATAATTCATATTTTGCATACAGATTTGAGAGTAGTATTCAGGATAGTATTTACTGAAAAGACTACATGATGCAGACTTCTGTACTTTTAGTTTACTTGCATCTTATGGAATTCAGTGGACTATTCCTAAACTAAACTTTTGAAAACATGAGAAGGCAACTGGCAGATTCTGTCAGAAACCTTTGTCAACATGTATACTTCTTGCCTTATGTTCTACAAGGAACTGATGTTAGGACACATCTAGGAAGAACCTGATATTCTGGCCATGTTTCCATCTACCATGAAGTAGAAACTGGTACAAGTAAAGATACCACTAACTGATAAAGATTGTTTAATAACTGTTCTCATATTTAGCTATTTTTTTCAAATATGCATTGTATTTATCTAATTTAACTACCCATCTGATTTAAGTTCACATAGAAAAATCTTTCTGGAAATCCAATCATCATCATTCAGTTTCTGGCAAATTCAGCTGTATAATAAAAGGTAGTTTTAAATTAAAGGAATCAAAGCACTATCAACTCAGATTCTTCCAGGATTATACAAACTGAACAGGTTTTGTAGTGTACTCAGCTTTACAACTTAGATAAGAAATGAACCAATGTAACTAGTAAGCTACATAATTAGGCAAAAAAAAAAAGGCTTTATAGCAACAGAAGAGGGCACTGACATTTCATTGCCTTCCAGTATTTAAAAGATATTCACAACATGACATCTGCTTATTCTTTGAACTCTTGGTTGAACAAGATTGTCTAATTAGTTTTTCTTAAGCCAAAGTGTTTATTTGACCTGCAGTAAATTCTCCTCTGGACACTGATCAGAATGAAAGCCAGAAGACCAAGGCAGATTTCTCTCTCGGTTCCCCAGCTTTTAAGGGTCACTGCAAGACCATTTCCAGTTAGCCTTCTAGGTTCTACGGAGGCCCTTCATGAATAGATGGCATTTGCATGGTATTAGTGATTGATGAATAACTGATTTAGAGAATTTTATCTTAGTGTACTTCAGCTGTGTTTGTTTAATTACATAAGTACCTTGAATACCTTTTTCCTTGCAGAGTACTTCAATAAAACAGGGTAGTTTTTTTTTTTTTAAACCAATTACCCAAGTTAAAAGGGTAACAGACAATAGGCAGCCCCTCCTTAAATAATCTCCAAATGTTAGGAATGTAAGCATCACTGGTCACTCAAAATTGCAGCTATATAAATCAAGCTTTAGTCAGACTAAGGGACTCATTTTCTTGAGCCACAAACAGAGAAAAAGCTTTGCTACTGCAATTATTTAAAAACAGAAAAACTTCGCAGTTCAGATTTCCAGTGTGCCTCCCAATAAAAGTCAAGAATATCAGTAACAGTCAATTATTTTTTTTGCATTTAGAAAAAATATATATATATTTTAGCCAGACTATACTTTTTTAGAGGCTCTCCTTCAGTAGTCCCTTGCTGCTGAGCTGTTTCTGCAGTCTCTTCCACAGGAGCAGTCTGTTCCACCTCACTAAAACAGTAAACAGAAAAACACAAGGTCTTCATGAGGCACATTAGCAACGAACTCACGTATCAAAGCATCACATTTCCCAGATAAAATTCCTTGGGAAGGGACAAAACAGAAGAAAAGCTCTGAGATCATAAGAAAAAGTTGATCTACTAAGCGACTATGTGAACTAACAAAATGAGAAGGGATGGGGAAATCTAATTTCTATGTACTTACAAACAAAAAAAAAAAAGTGAAAAGCATGCATGAAGACAAAATAACTCAGTCATGAACACCAGTACTTGATTATAGTACATCTCTGATACTTATGCTTGCATTTCTTATTTTCAATTAAAACAGTAAAATTCACACTTCATCTTTGAAGTCCACATTTTCTGTAACCCATTAGCCACATTAGTACGCTTTCAAACAAGAGCAGTAGCATGCTTATTTTCATTCCATTGATATGCATACATTTTTTAAATTAAAACTTTGAAGTTTCAATGCTTCATTAAGAACAATTAAAGCATAGAGATGCTTTTAGAATCGTTTAGACAATGCCAATTTAATGTGAACTCTACCACATGCACCACATCACAAGAAAGCAGTTATCTCACATCTGTATCACAAATTGTGATGCTACTGAACTAAAAAAATAGTAATAGCTAGGAAGAAAAAACAAGAGATCTTAACTTCTTTGAAATTTATAGAGTTCACACCACCTTCACTGACATATTTAGAAACTAGGTTTGTGCTTTTTTTTATTTTTATTTTTTTTTAAATCAACTAGGTTTGTGCTATTAGATCAAAACCATGTTTAAATAATCAATTACATGTTTTGAAAAGCTGGACTACCTAATCAATCTTTTGCTTTAGTTTGCAGCATTATAGAAAAGATAGAAGTCAGTACAGTCTCTTAGAGCTCAGAATATCAAGCCCCAAAACGTGGACCCAAAGGGATTTTTTTTCAACCTCTTAGACAGATACCTCAAAAAACCTGGTGTACATTAACATCATCATGATTGGAGCTATAAATACAAAACTATTTTTAAAACAGTTTTGTGAATGAATGTGCATGTGGCTACGGATGTTTGCTCTAAGCTCAAAGTTTTGCCTTTTCTGTCTTTCAGCAGCCTTCAGCTGAAACCTTCTGTAAGCATATGAGAATAAAGGGTACTGGAAAGAGTAACATACTGCTAGGTGCACAAAAAAGTTGACTTTTCCAGCAAGCTTTGTGTTATCTAGAAATAAACCAATGAAAGAAATACAGAATTGAACTTCCCAACTTTTTTCATCTAATTGACCATTAGTAAAACATCACATTTTGTCACTGATCCTTATGTGCTTTAAGATGTATTTCAGTGGTACAGTCAGCTAAATGTCTCTTGAGCCACACTGAATTGTACTGCAGCTTTGCTATTGAGACAAAATACATCAAATTTGAGAAAGGACCAAACTTCAAGCCCACTGACAAGTTCCACCTGTTAGTGATTATTTTGTAGCAATGTCAAAAAGTACCGGAGTCCCACTTACTTGAATATAAGAAAAAGTCATAACTTATTTCAGAAAAGACAACATAGCCCCAGTCTATTTTGACAGGCTTTTATTCAAGAGACATCACCGTGCCTTTGCTACAAATTAAACTCTTCAGGATAAACAAGATGAGTCCAGAAAGCTATAAAATTATGCTTAATCTATAATTAATAGAAAGTATGACTTAAACCTCAAAATACCCAAACTTCAATGAACTGAAAATGATGATCTATGGTGGGCACCAAAAAATGATGGTCTATGGTGGCACGAGAAAATGTTGTACCTCATATCATCTCTAGCTGTTCCCCAGTTGCGAGCTCCGCTTCCACCCTTTTTGTCAACTGCTCTCACTCCTCTAGAGAGAGAAACAGTGTTCTTTAAGAGCTTTTTTACATCACAGACTTGAACTGAAACTAGTACTCACTTATTGGCAAGCAGCTTGGGTATAGAATGCACGAACAGAATATGCAAGAGATTCTACTTCAGTGTCAACTCTATCGTTCACTTGTGCATGAAGAACAAGTACACTGAACACTTACGTTTTATCATTGCCACTTTGTCTTTCAAATTCCCGCTTTCCTCTTTGGTCAAATCCATCAAAACTTCTGCTTATTCCACTACCTCTTCCTCTGCCTCGCATTCCACCTCTTCCTCTTCCACGACCTCTTGGTCTTTCATAGTCTACTCTTTCACCTGATCTAGAGAGAAGATTTCCAGTCAGATTTTTGTTTCTATGGAACCATTAACAACAAGAAAAACATCTGCATGACTTCATTTGTGCAGTTACAGGAGACATCTGTGTAAGAGAGCTACTGTACAATTTTTGAAGACTACATATTTACTCAGCACAGTTGTATTAGTTTTGTCATTAAACTGAACACAGCAGGAATTATTGCAGACAACAGAAATAGAAAGTTCAAGTGTTTATAGTTTAACAGTGGAAATATTCGGGAAGTTTAATAAAACACTATAGAACTGTCATGTGTTCAGTGACCTTATTGGGCCATAACTCCACAATACAAATTCATAGTTACATGTAACTGCTAACATGTTTTCTGAATTTTTTTAATACCAACTACTGTGATGGAAAATAAGAAGAGAGTTACACTTTCAAGTGTTAAGAGTTTAGGTGAAAGTATTCTAGTACAAAGTATACAATTATACTAGAATATTACATTTTGTACTAGAATATTGCATTATAGTATAAAGACAACAAGTTTGACACGTGTTCACTGTCCAAGTAGCAAACAGTGTAACAAAGGTACAGTTTCAGTTTGAACTGTAAAATTAATTCTGCTTTGGATCTGCACCAGATGTTCTACAACAGTTGGTATGCAAGTTCAGAAACTGGATATTTACCTTACAGGCTAAAGGCAAAGTTTTCAGATCTTAACGTGTTTTAGTTTTGCCTTCTATTTTACCACTTAACAACAAAGCTCCAAATCAATCTGCATGTAAGCTGAAATGACAGCTCTGACAGACATGAACTAATAGGTACCCAATACCAAACTGATACGCTAATAACACAACTATGCCTTTGAGTCACCTCTGGCTATCACATCTGTTTAAGAAGGTTAATTCTTTCCCCTCCTTTTCCATCCCTGTGGAGATCTTCTACAAGGCACTTAACGTCTCCCTATACGATACATACCTTTCAGATGTGAATTCTGTTTGCCTTTCTGTTTCATAGGAACGGTATTCCCTGAAAGAAGGTCTCGATTCAGTTTTGTCTTGTTTCTCTGCTCTTCTGTTGTCATTCCATCCTTGCTCTTCTCCTTGTTTAGGGGCTCGCTTCTGGCCTATACAGAAACACACACATTTTTACTGAGTTTAATAATAATCAAATTGTATTTACCAGCTACTGTCTGAAGGGAATTGACTACACAATAGTCTTCTGCTTTACCACCTCCACTCCCAAGTCCCCCAAAATATTAAAATCACTTACAGTTAATGTTGTCAGACCCTTTCTTTAGAGACATTTACTTATTTTCCCCTCCATATTGATGAATCTGTCTCATGCAAAAATGCTACTCTTGTTGACTCGGCTCAGACATTAAAAAAAAAAAAAAAAAAAAAAAACCAATACACAACAAGGTAGAAAAATCTCATCTTGCTCACCTTAAATTATAAAAATTGAGAACAAAACTTTCTCTTATGTTTCCTCAAAGACCTTAATGGTATACTACAAAACAGGATAGAGAAATTTCACCAGAAGACATGAATTGCAAGGCTGTGGTAGAAGAGATGAACACAGGGCAAAGAGGATCATTTGAGACAGGTGTTAGCTGTTTACCATCAGACACCAAATTTCCTTATAGATAAGCTCAATTAAGAGTCTGCAGCTCTGTTTTATGCTCTCAATTATGGTATCCAACAAAATAAGGGTTACCTCCTTACATTGCTGCTCTATGGGGGAAAGAATAATTTACCGACATTACAAGACACTTAGTTTAAATAGCAGAAACGCAAGCAGTAAATACAAAGGCTCCAACTAATTCTAGAATTCCAACATATTACAAGACAAAATGTATTTAAGCTTTCTCAGTTTTTGTTTTACATTGTTGATGTTGAGGAGGAGCAGGTAGGGCAAGGTGATTGCAGAGGAACTGAGTGCTACAAAAAGCAATAAGCTGAGGTTATGCATTCAACCCAAGTGCACCTAGCTTAAGACTAGAGTTCAATATGTACTTCCTTCTCTGTTTTCCCAAATTCTCTGCTCTATTTAGGACGAAGTTATCCAAAAGCAAACCTTTTGCCTCCTAGACCCTATACTTAAACTGTGCAATGTTGAACAAGTTACTGAAGTAAGGTTCTCACGGACAAGTTACAGCCCTGGCTACTGTGCCTCGGTTGTTAGCACATAAGAAGAAAACTTATTCTATGTCAATATATTAATATACAAATGAATTCATAGTTCCATAGAAATGCCCGTATAAAAAGATCTCTCTTCAAAGCTTGGCTGTCAGGCATGAAGTCAACAGCATCATCTTTAAAAAGAAAACTTCAAAATAACTATCCACACAAAGGGAAAAATGTAGAATGGTGACTGATAAAGCTTATTGTTAGGCAGTAAGGACAGTTGCATCTATACACTGAAGAAAGTTTAATTGGTGCTGCACAAGCAACCCTAGCTTTTTTTTTTTTTTCCTAAACTACAAACTGCTTGACATAATATGTTCTCTTTTCTCAAGATTTGGATTTCCTTAGCCCTTATTGCAGCAAGCACATTTGCATCCCAAAAATGAAGACAATCTGTGGATGAAGGACAATTTTGAAATTAGTCTGAGTGCTTTTTATTAAAGCATCCTAATTTGAAAAGGATAAAGTTGAAGTTATAAGGAATACAGAATGACATTTACTGTTTGGAAAGGTGTCTGTTCTGTGCATATCCCAACTATACCAACAATTACACAAGTGTTAACTCTAAATTGGAATCTTGGTGAGAAAAACAAAAGACCATTTCTGATCATTTTTATTTATTCTGATCAAATCTGAACAGGCAACTGCAATACAAGAGTGCATGTTTATCCCTTTTTGAGCCTCTCACTAGCTATGAGAAGCATAATTATTCCATATAGAACAACTCAGCAAGAATGCAGAGACCACATCCCTACATATTTAGTATTAACTTCCAATTCACATACATATTTAGAGAACTCCTTAAAATGAGTAAAGCAATAGCAAAACAGGGATGTAAAAGCCATTTTAGAGAGATGATCTGTGGTTCTGTTACCCAGTACCCTTTAAAAGTACTTAAAAGTGCTTCAAAACAAGTCTTGTCAGATATGCAAGTGTATTACAGTGCATTACAAGTCACCAGCACTGACCATGCTAGACAAAGCAGACAGCTCTTGACTTCATTGTACAGTTAATTCACTTCGATTCTAATAGATGGCTATAATTACTGCAAATGGATTTAAAATACTACAAAAATTTGTGACACTCGTAACCTGCATAAAAATACTTTAACTAGTTCGACAGACATGCAGCAATGGATTAAAACTGCACAGTTGCAGTGAACACACCTCTCTAATAAACAGCGTCATCCTCAGAGCAGAAACACGTGGCTTGCGAATCTGTCCAAATACCAGCACAAATTTCAGCTCAGCATATAAGGGCAAACCAAACCAGAGTCTGACAGCAGTGATAACATAAACCATCCTATCTTATCCCTGCTTTGTATCTGTCACAATGAAGACTCACTTTTATTTAAGGATCGGAAGGACCACCAACCCTCTGGGGGACTGGGTTTGGGGGAAGGAAGAGTAAAACAAAGGCAATCCTGTGTAGTGTTGCCATAATAGCTTTCACTTACAAAGAACTGGGCCGTGCTTTGAATGCTCATTAATTACTTCTCCTGGTACACTCCAGTGTTGCCAGCTTGTTAGCATATACATATGTAAGTTCCCTTCAAAACCACAATAGGGTCTTATGGATCATTTACCTGAGGTCTTGCAAACACTGTGCTGAAAAATGAAGATTGCTCTTTTCTAGTTAATAAGTTTAGCCTCATTTAAGATGATTTTCTTGTTCGTACACTTAAATTTCTATTAAACTGAAGTAGATACCCACCACTCCTCACGTCACCATTACTTCCCTGCGAGGCTACTGCACCAGCCCGATCTGTCACCTCAGTTGCCTGTCACTTTATTTTCTAAATTGATAAAACAGAAGAAAAAAATTCTGATTAAACTGTTTCTAAACCAGGTTTTTTCAGTAAATACACCCAAACCATTATTAGAGGTAAAGACGTCTGTAAATAGTAACATTACCAGGTATAAGACCTAGGCATAGATAAAGAAGAAAAACACACCAAACAACAGTGGGGTTTATAAACTGCAGATTAAGCCAAATAATACAGATCTAACATATTAAAGTATCTTTCACTTTGCCACCACAGCTATGAGTATTAGTTTTGCTTATGCAGCAGCATTTACATAGGAAGACTTTCTAGAAAGTGTATTTAATAAACACGTTTCGCAGAACCCTGAACTGGGAAAGCAGAAATTATGTTTTCAGGAACTGCAGCATCTCACTCCCTGCCACTGAACATCGGTGTTAACAGAAGGATTTAAAACAACTCAGAGAAATCTAGCTGCCGTTGCAGTGTTGTGTCTAGCTCCTATCCAAGGTTTCTCTATTCATACATGTATCATCTGCCCTCAAACAAGCAAAACTTTTGCCTGAGAAGAGATGGTTCTCTAGTTTATGAAGGGGCAGGCTCTTCACCGGCCTGTTGCTGATGCAGAACATTCTTACTTTATTTTTTAAGGGAAAAAGAGTAAGCTTTTGGGAGGCAGACCTCGTTTTCCATTTAGACACACACCTTGAATTTCCCAGCTTGCAACCACATCCAGTCACTGCAGGCGACAGCAGAAATCCTGTCCTGGCCCTGGCACTTCGAGAAGCCAGGCAGCCAAGGGCGGCAGCTGCCACACAGCTCCCGGGCAGAGGGATGGAGGCTGCTGATGCTCAGCTCGCCTTGCATTGCCTTGCATTCAGGCCTAAAATCCGGACCCAAACACTGCATCGCAGCACTTTATAAATTCTCATAAGGCTGTGACCAACTCATCCCACTAACACAGACGGTGCTCAAACCCACTGAAAAGATGGCATCCATGCTCTGTTTCTGCAAACGTGGCCCAGAGGTCCCAAACAGGAATTACCTATCTTTGGCCCCAGCAGGCACGCACTGGAACAGAACAGAGGGAAAGTGAGAGCTGCTTTCATTGAGGTAGAATAAACATTAGAGCAGCCACTGTAGTTACATGAAAGATTTATGCATCTTACAGCATGTAATTGATGGAAAAAGCAACGACAAAACGCTTTCTGTCTGACAGCCTACACTCAGTTTTCTGAATGAATCAAGGGCAGCAAGCATAAGTAACAAGCAATGAACGTTTTTGCCTTCTGTCTCTCACCTTCAGTTCCACATACATTGTATGCTTAGATACCTCTGCTCAGAGCAAAAAAAAAAAAACTTAATTTTGGTCTTCCCAATACATAAATTATTCCGTAGGTTTGGCCATGGTTGTCACTCCTGCTTTTTTTAGTTTTCCTACCCCCGAGGTGAAGAAAAGAGCAGACACTTTAATAACTGGGAAAGTGAGATTCTTTCAAGAGCACAGAAGTTATTTTTCTGGTTTTCTCGCTACTGGTATCTCAGTTATTCCTGACACTGTTTCTCTCAGGCTGCAGCTGGAAAGAAGCCTGCTGTTTTAATAGTATCAGACCTAGTGACCCTCTGCTCTTTCCTAAGCTACAATAGTTTGAATCAGAGAAATCATTCATGATGCAGCACAGCTAGCAATGCTGCCCTCCACCTCTAACCCATGTTCTCCCACGCATACTGCTCCGCGCTTAATGTAAGTGAGCTTCCTTTGTCATTTTGTAGTTCATTTAGAGTATGTATTGCTATTGCTCTGCAACTCTACCGTTTTAATTTAATGGGCTAAATAACCTTGTATCAGCAAACTTGAGCTATTTATCCCTCCCACAGTTCTTCCAGCAGACTTGCCACCCACCTACATACACACAAAATGAAGAAAAACTTTATTCAAAAAATTCTCTTTTGGAGGACTTTTGATTGCCTTGTAAGATGTTAGAACAAAGCTAACAACAGCAGTTACTAGTCCTAAATTTAAATTGCCCTTTCCACTTTTTTTTTTTCCCCTAAGAGACACTTCTTCCCTCAGCTTTCAGATTAGCAACTCATTTTTGAACGAGAATGTCTGAGCCACAAGACACAATTTAGTGGCAGCTCAGAAAAGATGAAGTGACAAAAAACAAGAAGAATACTGCTCTGATTGGTCTGGAATGAGGGCGAGTGGAGAAGTTATGCTATAATTCAAGGATCTCTGCAATTAATTATGGCTCCATGCAGAGACACTACTTTATTACCATCCCAGTAAAACAGCACCTCACACAAATGGACAGCTGGTCTTCCTTTAAAATAAAGCTGCGTCATTGGAAATACTGAAAGACAGCTCCCACTCTCAGGGACTTATTTTCATATATCTCCGAGTAAAAGCAGAATTAGGAATGCATGAACAACCAAATTTCACTCCTTTGCATACATGTGTGCCCATGTGACTTTAATTCCAAAGCTTCAAGCATTTACTTTTGTGAATTAAGGCAGGACTAACTACATGATCTGCAGAATAACACTCCCAAAGCACAAAAACAGGCTTCAGCTATTGCATGCAACACAGCAAAGAAAAATAAGTGGAGCTAAGACTCTATTCTGTGATACTTTCTTTTCTTGCGTGCCAGTACCCAATTACAGAATTGCCTACCACAGCTACCCTCTGGACAGTTCTTATGACTTTGTATTTGAAAGAATGATACTGGAATTAATTATTTAAAAATATGAGAGCTACAGCCAGCATAAGATAAAATTCCCCAGAAACATTCCATGACCTATTAGCTTAAATAAGTAGCTAAAAATTCAGACAAATACTAAGTATTCAGGAGCTACATCTAAATGTTACACGGGTCATCAAATGCATACGAAAGAAGAAAACCTTCTGGAGGTATCAGCAACAAAGGTTTAGAGATTTCAATTGAACAGAGCTTATTACTGCATGATCAACAGATTTAATTTGCCTGGACTGCTGAAGAATGCAAGCTCTGCAACAAGGCCTTTTGAATAAAGAGCTGGCAAATGCAGTTTGGCCACTGTGCTAAGAATGAACTGAGTTAACATTAAGTGGTGCAACTGCAGGAGCTGTAATACCTACAAAGAGCCCTTACCCAAAGCCTCAGCACTCTGTTGAAGAACAACAACAAAAAAACAATAATATTAGTTTAAGAAGCCACAACCACATCAGTATAGCCAATAATAATAATAATAATAATAATAATGTAGGTTTTGATAGGCTATGAAATAGCAGTTTACTTTCTCTGTAACAAAATAAATAAATAAATAAATAAAGACTCCTTATAATTGTGTCAACTCGTAACAAACAGTTTGGATTCTAAAGATCACTCAATTATCAATCAGGCAAAGACCTCTTACACGAGGTTGTTTCAAATTGAAAACATCTCCAGAAACTATGTTACAACTCCTCTGGAAAAGGCAGCCAAGAGCTAAGCAAAGCAAAAATGCTGATTTGCAGCAATACCCTGAGTAAACCTTCCACTCTAACATCAAAACCTAACACCAAAAACAGGCTCTCAAGCATATGTAAAGCTTTCTATGTATTGCAAGTTTGAAGTCATACAGAAGGACGAGGCTTGCTTCAAGTCTTTCTTAAGATAAAGACTATTTTCAGTTTTAAAATTTTCAAGAAATAACACAATAAAACAAGTTGTGAAGCTTAACAACACTTCTTGTAACCCAAATGAGCAATACACTCCAATAAATCGATAAAACTTGTACAGTGAAGACTTAATTTTGTAACTTCAGTCATAATATCAGAACCTGATTCAGCTGTTCACATGGGTCTACAAACTCCTTTATGGTATTTATTTCCTAACCAGTGGAATGAAATTAGAGGGAGTTGTTCCCCAAACCTGATAGCTTAAAAATAAATAAATAAATAAGACTGGAAACATTTTTTACATCAATTTTAAGAGAAAAAAAAAAAAAACAGAAGTTTAGTCATTAGTTCCATAATTCCGTCATTTTAGCCAGTATTGTGTGTGATTGCTTATTTGCCAAACAAGGGTGTATTCTTCTAGAAACGCAGCCATCATTAGAGGCTTTATGCAAAATTCAGCTGGTAAGAGCAACTTCCCGAGCAGTTACTCATTCGCACCCATTAAGCCAATAGTCCCAACAATCTTCTACAGTGTCCAGAAGTTTTCTGGCTGAATTCTGTATGCCAGATGCACATGTATGTGTAGGGCCCAGATAAAAAGCCTGTGGCAGAAGTGCAAAAGCAGGCCCAAGTCTCACCTCCCTCACTCATTTTGCATGCTGAGCACTATGCATTTACAGTCCTTGCTCACAACAAGCCCAAGACATGCACATACGAGCATACAAAACCCAGGATACCCACTTGCTTTTACAAAGAAAGTTTATGGTTTTTTTTCTGAGAGAATAACTCTTAAGCTATTCAACTTTCCTAAAGCCTGCTATAAGCCAGCAGTCTTTTCCCAATTTAAATCAGCAGGAAAGTAAAACAAGGCACACGGCTGATGTCTCTACATGGGGAAAGCGGGCTCCCTACCACCAAGGTAGCAGCAGATACTCGGGCAGCCCACCAGGTCACTGTGCATTGCCACTGCAGTACACGCAGAGCCTGCTGAGGACACCTTACAGGGAAGCAGGATGCTCTTCACCCACTTCACGGTCCTGGTAGACTACTGACAGCTACCAGCACTTGTGCACAAACTTTTCCACCAAAACTTGACTTTGCCGTTCAGCGAACAGGGTCCTCCGCCTCCTGTTGATAACCACAGCAACGCACCCGTGAAGTGAAGCCTGGCAGTAACGTGAGCGCTGGTCCTTCAGGCAGGGCTCCCTGACAGCCGCACGCCCACGTCACCCCCGAGGAATCCCAGAAGACAACTTCTGGACAACTCTCTAAAGCGACAGCCCGTGCCCTCGCCCCCTCCAGAGCCTCCCGCTGACGAGCAGGGACCCGGCACCGGGAGGCTCCCAGCCCCACGAGGGCGCGGAGCTGCGGCCGGGGCGGTGTCAGACGAGCCGGGAGGGGCAGCGGAGGGGCAGGCTGACGGCGCGACGACCCCAGCCCCGCTCCCAGGCAGCCCGGCCTCCAGCACCCCCCGGGACGCGCCTCCCCCGCCCCGTACCGGGCTGCGGCGCGGCGCTGCCGAGGCCGCCCTGCTGCTTGCGCTCCTTCTGGGACTCCCTCCTGACGGCGCCCCCACGGCCGCCAACGCCAACGCCGCCGCCGCCCCTCTTGGCCGCCGCCGCCGCCGCCTCCCCGCGCTGCTTGCGCTGCTGCCGGCGGCGCTCGGCCTCGCGGAGGATGTCGAAGGGGTCGGAGTCGTCGTCCAGCAGCTGGCAGAAGCGGTTGGCCACGGCGCAGCCGAAGCTCTCCTGCATCACGGCGCCCTTCATCGCCGCCACGCCACGACCGCCCAGCCCAGCCGACGCCAGGCGCTGCGACGCTGCCGGCGCCGCCGCCGCCGCCGCCACCGCTCCGCTCCGCGGGGTGGGCGGGGCCGCGCCTGGCCACGCCCCCCCTCCCCGCCCGGCCCCGCCAGCCAATCGCGTGGCGGGGCCGCCGGCGGCGCGCCGGCTCCGCCTATCGGCGCGGCCCGGCCCCGCCCGCCGGCGGCACGCGCGGGCGCGGCGGAACAATGGCACGAGCCGAGCGGCAGGGCGCGGCCACGCACCCCCGCCACGCCCCCTGCCGGCAGCGCCCGCAGCGCCGCAGCGCCAGCGGGCAGGGCGGAGACACGCACCCGGGCGGGGCCGGGCCGGGGCGGGCCGGGGCGGGGCGGAAACCCCCCAGAAGCTGCGCTGTGTGTGAGAGGAAACGGTTATAAAATAAAGCACGATGAAATAAAGCGTTATAAAATAAAGCATTGCAAAATGAACCATTGGAAAATAAAGCATTATAAAATAAAACATTGGAACATAAAGCATTACAAAATGAACAGTTACAAAATAAGCCATTATAAAATGAACCATTACAAAATAAAGCATTATAAAATAAAACATCCTAAAATAAACCGTGACAAAACAAGCCATTACAAAATAAACCATTTCAAAACAAACCATTACAAAATCGCACAGCCCGAGGTCCCTTTCTGGGGCACAACACCTGTAAAGCCATGCCCTGTACTGGGTCCAGCTGCCGCACACGCAATCAGTGATGTGATCTGACAGAACTCAGCTGAATACACGAAGGTTTATGCTGAGCAGCACGGGGCTGCATCACCAGAGATGGGCCTGCTCGCAGTAGGCGCATTCATCACCTGCAGGGGACGAAATGCCAGTTCATCTGCAGTGTGGGTGTGCTTACCTCATTCTGCTTCCTTCCCCGGGGAACACTCGGTAGCTGGCCTCGAGTAGGCTATAAGAAACTCTACTGTCTTACAAGCGTATTTGATTTGATATAAAGCAGAACTGGGAAAACATAATCATGAACAGGTAAATAAGAGGTATTACAACTAGTGCTATGTTACTCTGTGAGTCCTTATTACAACGGGCAATAAAGTCACTTGCATTATTGTTAAGTATTTGCTTCTATCTGCCTAAAGACCATCGCTGTCTCCAAGTATTCAGGTCAGAACTTTGGAGTATCACTAGAAATGTTTGAGGCATGCGTTAGACAGGTAAAGTACCTTCTTTCCTCTTCATTTATCATGTATATGCATTCAGTTTCACTATTAGAAGCGTTACAAATGAAGTCTCAACTCAATATGAATTTAGTAATATTTATAAAATAAATATTTATAAAAGGTATAAAAGGCAAGTAAACAGTGCTGGGTGTGCGGGGAGTCTACGCTCCACCAACACACACACACGAACATCAAACTTTCTAAATATACAGAACATGGCTTTACATACTAAACCCAAGTACACCTATACATATGTGCAATCAGAAAAGGTTACTAACAACCCTTTAAGTTGCATGACTTAACAGTCTCCATTTTCCATTCCTTTTGAGCAATATGTCTTGCTTTAAGTTGTCAAGCAACTCGCCTTCGGGCCTTACGTATCCGGTTCTTCCCAGATGGAAGCAAAGCATATCCATCTCCTTTTCAAGACCAATGAGGCCTGGGTCACACGTCCAGGTCAGCAGGGGGCGGAACAGCAAAGGCCTGCGATGGCTGTAGCAGCAGAGGGGCGATGGTGTAGCAGTTGGATCAGTAACGGAGCCTGCAGCTCCCTCACTGTCTGGCAAGTCACACATTTCTGGTTGTGGCCCCACAGGGCTCTTTAAAGCCTCAGAGACTGCTCGCCAGGTGCCGAGCAATCCCACTGCAACCTTGTCGGGTTTAGTTGCAGAATCCCACACCTTGACCTCAGTTTGGTCCCATATTTCAGGCTCATAAACTGTCTGATTGTTAATATGGAGAATAAGCTGTAAGGTTACCAGGACAGTCTTTGTTCCTAAGGACGTATGGTTCCCCATAATGCGCAGCTGCTTACCAGCGAGGGGCAGTTGCGTGCACGGCTCCGCTTCTCTCAGCTCGAGCTTCTCTCCAGCTCCAGTGCGCCCATTTCCAGCGACTTTCTGTACGAGCTTCTCTGAGCTGTTTGCTGAGTCTGGCCGAGCCTATTTTCATGAGGCAATCAAAGTGCCTGCTCCTGTCCTGGTCTCTGTTCTGCCAGCCTGTTCCTCTTCACTCCTTTTTCCTGCTTCTTTATTGATGACGTAACTTCATCATATCTTGTTGCCTTTATTTTTAATTGAGGGCAGGCTGCCCTCTTATACCCTTCAGCCCACAGCAGTTCTTTTCAAAACAACTTTTCATTGGTCAAACAACTTTGCATATAACAGCAACAGCAAACACCCAGTAACTTCCATGCCTTAATGGCTGGAGAAGAAGCAACCCAAGACATGCATGGAAACTCCTGAATCACCCTTCTTTGTTCCCTCTAAACTCTTTCACATTCCTGATGGCCTCATCTTTAAGAGTCTGATGTTATCACCAACGATGGGGCTTGCCAACCCCCATGGCCACACTCCCACATCTACCCCTTCATTATTAATATCAACCATTTTCTCGACATGAATTACCACTCCATATATAACAGAAGTACATCAGTTACCATCCTAGGGGAGGTAGATGTTTCATTTTTTTTTCTGAGAGAGTTTCACATCCTCACACTCCTGAATCGTGATGCTCTTCTCAAGTCCAACTAGAAGGACAGAACATAGGTACTTTTTATTGTTTTCTTTTGAGTGCTTGCTCCCTATCTTTTCACTGTGTTTCTCTGTTACATTGTAATAAAAGGTATACTTTGTTGTAATGTTAAACAGGATCCGATCTCACAGAATCGCCTAGGTTGGAAGAGACCTTCAAGATCACCTAGTCCAACCTCTGACCTAACACTAACAAGTTCTTCCCATAAACGATATCACTAAGCTCCACATCTAAACGTTTTTAGGGATGGTGACTCCACCACTTCCCTGGGCAGCCCGTTCCAATGCCGAACAACGCTTTCGGTAAAGAAGTTCTTCCTAACATCCAACCTAAACCTCGCCTGGCGCAACTTTAGCCCATTCCCCCTCGTCCTGTCACCAGGCACATGGGAGAACAGACCAACCCCCACCTCGCTACAGCCTTCTTTAAGGTACCTGTAGAGAGCAATAAGGTCACCCCTGAGCCTCTTTTTCTCCAGGCTGAACAAGCCCAGCTCCCCCAGCCGCTCATCGTAGGACTTGTTCTCCAGACCCCTCACCAGCTTCATCGCCCTTCTCTGGACTCACTCAAGCACCTCCATGTCCTTCTTGTACCGAGGGGCCCAAAACCGAACACAGTACTTGAGGTGCAGCCTCACCAGAGCCAAGTACAGGGGGACAATCACCTCCCTAGTCCTGCTGACCACACTGTTTCTGATACAAGCCAGGATGCCGTTGGCCTTCTTGGCCACCTGAGCACACTGCTGGCTCATATTCAGCCGACTGTCCACCATCACTCCCAGGTCCTTCTCTGCCTGGCAGCTCTCCAACCACTCCTCTCCCAGCCTGCTTGGGGTTATTGCGCCCCAGGTGCAGGACCCGGCACTTGGCCTTGTTAAACTTCATGCAGTTGACCTCACTCCATCGGTCCAGCCTGTCCAGGTCCTCCTGCAGAGCCTTCCTACCCTCAAGCAGATCGACACACGCATCTAACTTGGTGTCATCTGCAAACTTGCTGAGGGTGCACTCGATCCCCTTGTCCAGATCACTGATGAAGATATTAAAGAGGACCGGCCCCAGCACCGAGCCCTGGGGGACGCCACTAGTGACCGGCCTCCAACTGGACTTGGCTCCATTTACCACAACTCTTTGGGCCCGGCTATCCAGCCAGTTTCTAACCCAACGAAGCGTGCACCAGTCCAAGCCAAGAGCAGCCAGTTTCTTGAGGAGAATGCTGTGGGAGACGGTGTCAAAAGCCTTGCTGAAGTCAAGGGAGACCACATCCACAGCCTTTCCCTCATCCACCCAGTGCGTCACTTTGTCATAGAAGGAGATCAGGTTCATCATGCAGGACCTGCCTTTCATAAACCCAAGCTGACTGGGCCTGGTCGCCTGCTCGCCCTGCAAATGCAGCGTGATGACTCTCAAGATAATCTGCTCCATGAGCTTCCCTGGCAAAAGTAACAGGTCAAAATGACAGGACTATAGTTCCCTGGGTCTGTCCTCCGGCCCTTCTTGTAGATGGGCAGCTAGCCACCAGTCGACTGGGACCTCCCCTGATAGCCAGGACTGCTGATAAATGATGGATAGTGGCTTGGCCAGCTCCTCTGCCAGTTCTCTCAGTACCCTTGGCTGGATCCCATCCTGGCCCCATCGACTTGCACACATCCAAGTGCTGTAGCAGGTCGCCAAACATTTCCTCATGGATAGTGAGGGCCACATTCTGCTCCCCATCCCCTTCTGCCAGCTCAGGGTACTGGGTATCCAGAGAACAACCAGTATTGCCGCTGAAGACTGAGGCAAAGAAGGCATTAAGCACGTCCACCTTTTCCACATCTCTTGTAACTAAGTTCCCCCTCACATCCAGTAAAGGCTGGAGATTCTCCTTAGTCTTCCATTTTGCACTGATGTATTTGTAAAAATTTTTTTGTCATCTTTAACAGCAGTAGCCAGATTGAGCTCCAGATGAGCTTTGGCCTTTCTAATTTTTTTCCTGCACAGCCTCACAACATCCTCATAGTCCTCCCAAGTGGCCCGCCCTCTTTTCCAAAGATCATAAACCCTCTTTTTTCTCCTGAGCTCAAGACACAATTCTCTGCTGAGCCAGGCCAGTCTTCTTCCATGCTGGCTCGTCTCTGGGCACGTGGAGACAGACCGCTCCTGTGCCATTAAGATTTCCCTCTCAAAGAGCGCCCAGCCTTTCTGGACTCCTGTGCCCTTCAGAACCGCCTCCCAAGGGACTCTACCAACCAGTGTCCTGAGCAGCTCAAAGTCAGCCCTACGGAAGTCCAAGACTGTGGTTTTACGGATCCCCCTCCTGGCTTCTCCAATAATAGAGAAGTCCACCATTTCGTGGTCACTCTGCCCAAGACAGCTCCCAACCACCACATCTCCCACCAGTCCTTCTCTGTTTGTGAAGAGAAGGTCTAGCGGGGCACCACCCCTGGTAGGCTCGCTAACCAGCTGCGTCAGGAAGCTATCTTCCACGCTCTCCAGAAACCTCCTAGACTGCTTTCTCTGGGCTGTGTTGTGCTTCCAGGATATGTCTGGGAAGTTGAAGTCCCCCACGAGAGCAAGCGCTGATGATTTTGCAACTTCTGTCCGCTGCCTGTAGAACTCCTCATCCGTCTCTTCATCCTGGTTCAGCAGTCTATGACAGACCCCCACTGGGTTGTTTGCCTTGTTGGCCTTCCTGCTGATCCTAACCCATAGGGTTAGGCTTATCATTCCCAGCCTCAAGTTCCACGACATCAAAACTTTCTCTGATATCGAGAGCCACACCACCACCCCTGCTGTGCTGCCTGTCCCTTCTGAAGAGCTTATAGCCAGGCATTGCAGCACTCCAGTCACGAGAGTGGTCCCACCACATCTCCGTGATGGCAACCAAGTCGTAGCCTGCCTGCTGCACAATGGCTTCCAGCTCCTCCTGTTTGTTACCCATGCTGCGTGCATTGGTGTAGATGCACTTCAGCTGGGCCATTGCCTTCTCCCCCGGCCTTGTCATTGTTCCCCCTGGCACAGCTCCAACAAGCCTTGTTTCAGCCCCAACCCCCTTCTTACCTAGTTTAAAGCCCTCTCAATGAGCCCTGCCAGCTCCTGGCCTAGGATCTGTTTTGCCCTTACAGATAGGGACCCGTCAGCGGCCATCAGGCCAGGAGCCAAGTAAAGCACCCAATGGTGAAAAAAAAAAAAAAATAAAAATAAAAATAAAATAAAATAAAATAAAATAAAATAAAATAAAATAAAATAAAATAAAATAAAATAAAATAAAATAATAGAATAAAATAAAATAACATAATCCTGTGTTGGCACCAGCCTCTGAGCCATGTGTTTATCAGGTGGGCTTTCCGTGTCCTGTCTGTACCCCTCCCTGACACCATAGGGATGGATGAAAACACCACCTGTACTCCTGCTCCATCCACTAAACATCCCAGCCCCCTGAAGTCCCGTTTGGTAGACTTGAGGCTTCTCTCTTCAATGTCATCACTGCCAGCCTGGACTATTTAAAGAGGATAATAGTCAGAGGGGAGAACCAGTTTGGGAAGCTTTCTGGCACTGTCCCTGATCCTGGCCCCAGGGAGGCAGCAGACTTCCCTATGGGTAGGGCCAGGCCAACAAATAGGGCCCTCTGTTCCCCTGAGAAGGGAGTCACTCACAACAATCACCCTTCTTTCTGTCCTGGTGGAGGCAGTCCTGAGCCATGGAGTCACTTCCTCGCCCTAAGCATCCTCCTGGGTGCTTTCTACCTCTTCCTCACCTACCGGTCTCTCAAGCTCCAGGGCCTCAGCTCTGTTACGTAAGGGCACCTGGGAAAGTGGGGCTGGTAGGGGAGGGCATCTCTTGCGATGTCGAGCAGGGACCTGTCTCCATTCCTCCTCAACTCCCAGGTCCCCTAACTCTGCCTAACAGCGACAGGGCAGGGGGTCCACCCCCATTTGGGGTGTCTCACCTGGTACCTCTCCTTGAGGCCCTGCAGGGAGTTGCTCCACCAGTCTTATCTCCTGCTGGCACTCCCTGATAGCCCTCAACCTCTCCACCTCCTCCTTGAGCTCTGCCACCAGGCGGACCAGGTCGTCCACCTGCTCGCACCTCACACACACGGTGTCTCTGCCGCCCTCTGAGGGCAGCAGCAGGCTCAGACACTCCCTGCATCCAGAAACCTGAACTGCCTCATTTTTGAGCGGGCAGTCAGTCTGGGTGGATACAGACTTCCTAGGGAGAGCTCTCTGTGCAGAGTCTGATGGTAGACTGTGTAATGGCTCATTATTCTGGTAAGAATAATATTCTGGTAAGAGCACACTCTCTTGTTTTTACACTAACTAAACCACTAAAATATCAGTGCTTTTATCTATTAAGTTGATAGAACATCATCAAAATATTACATAAAACAAACACATTTAGTATTGTTCAATTAAGATACTGTAGCTCAGATTATTTTTTTTTTAGAACTGTCTTTACACAGTGTGACCTTAACCATTAGTTTTATATGTATGGCTGTGTGTAATGAAAAGCAGTGAGTCCTTTAGGCTGTGCACGCTGTGCATGTGTTTCCCATCGCAGCAGCAGGATCTGGACAATGAAGTCACTTCTCTCCTCTTGGTCATCGTCATTGCACAAAACTTTAATTTTCAGACCAGCTAATATATCAGAAACGGCATCAGTTCACTTTTGCACTTTTTGCACTCTTTTGCACTGCTTCCTAATGAGCATAACAAAGATCTATTATTTCAGACTAGATAAATTAACAAAATATGTGTAAAGAAGTTGATCTGCAGCTAGGGCCTTGGGAATCGTCTCAAAATTTCTCACCTGCCTTGAGTTAGCACAGGATAATTACGGAGATATTTAGTTGCTTGCTTCTATCTTACTGCATGATACCAACTCACAGTATCTACTATTCCATGTACCGAACTGTAACATTAATTCTACCCCTCACTGGAGTTTCTGGGTAGCTACCTGTAACACTTGCAGCATCAGCTACACAGTTCAGGAAAACTGTAAAAGCTATTCACCGTTTGTTTGCAGGACGCAATTACTTTAATACATCACTATTTATTTATTTATTATTTTTTTTCCCCAAGCGTACGTTGTTCTCGCACAGGAACTTTCTCCTCCGGGTTATTTTTAGGGCTGAAGTTTCAAGTGGCACAGATCCAAGCGTGTGCAAACCTGTTCACTCATTTTGGAAACGGTGTTTAGTTAAAGGCTGTTGTGTTTTCTTCTCAGAGCTGGTAAGTGCGTGGGCAGGGCTTTGGCTCGTAGCAGCAAGCCTGAGAAGCTGGAGTGTCAGTCGCGTGAAGACGATTTTATTTAAACAAACGCTCGGGACCTGTTTTCATTACGTTAGGGAAGGTAGCCGTGACGAAGTGAACCGCAAGGCGTAACGAAGGGGCGCCTGGCATTAACCTCACAAATTAACCAATAATGTACCAATTACTTATTTCACAGCCTCTAATCGGGAGAGCAGCGATGGAGCGATAGCGAGGCGGAACTAGCCCGCGAGCTGACCCGCCCTGGCTACTGAGCCGCGCTGGCTCTGACGGGAGGCGCTGACGAGCCCCCGGGCCTGCCAACGGCCGCCACAACCGCCATAACGGCCGCCCCCCCGCTCAGCGCCGCGCCCCCACGCGGAGGGCACCGTCCCCGCCCCTCCCCCCCCGCCACGCGCCTCTTCCCCGCTCCCACCCGCGGCGGCCCCTTTAAAGGCAGCGCGCGCCGCGCTGCCATTGGCGCGGGGGCCGCGCAACAACAACAGCGTGCTCCTCGCATCCGGCGGCGGGGCCAATCAGCGGCCGAGCTCGGCGCGCGGGGGCCGCGCCCCGACCAATGGGGAGGCGGGACGGCGGCCTCCTCCCGCCCGGGCCCATCTCCCGGGAGCGGGGCGGGGCTCCGCCTGCTGCCGGCCCGCCGATTGGCCGCGGGGAGCTGCCACTCCGTGACGTGCCGGGGGCGTTCGCTGATTGGTTACGCCCAGGCGCGAAATGTAACGCGGGAAAACCCAGGGTGCGGATCGCGCTGCGGGCCGGCGGCACCGGGACCGGCAGCGGCACCGGCAGCGGGGCGGGGGCCGCTGGGCAGAGGCGCGCGGGGCGCTATGGCCGCCGCCTGCTGCTGGTGGCGGTGACCTCGCGGCTCCAGCTCCAGCAGCGAGGAGGTCGCGCGCGCGCGGGGCAGGCAGCGGGACCCCCCCCCGGCGATGAGCAGCGGCTGAGGCGCGCCCGGTGCGACCGCAGCAGCCGCCCCCCAGCGCGCCCTCGCCGCCGGTTCCGCCGCCCGCCCCGATGGCGGAGCGCCCTCCTCTCCCTCCTCCTGCAGCAGCGGCGGCCCCGCCGGTGATCTTCTGCCAGGACTCCCCGCAGCGCGTGCTGGTGTCCGTCATCAGGACCGCCCCCGTCAAGCCGTCCCCGCGGCGGGGCGGTGGCGGCGAGGAGCCGGCGCCCGCCCCGCCCGTGCCCACCAGCCCCGGCTTCAGCGACTTCATGGTCTACCCCTGGCGCTGGGGCGAGAACGCGCACAACGTCACCCTCAGCCCCGGCACCGCCACCGACACCACCGCCTGCTCCTCCTCCGCCTCCTCCTCCTCCTCCTCCGCCTCCGCCGCCGAGCCCGCGCAGCAGCCCCGCGGCGGGGACGAGGAGGAGGCCGGCAGCACGGACGGGGGGGGCGGTGGCCACCGGCACCTCAAGGTGAGGGGCGGGGGGGGGGGTGAGGGGGGGCCGCGCCGCCGCCACCGCCCCCGCGCGGTGAGGTCACTTCCGCGCGCGCCCGCGGAGGGAGGGGGGGGGGAACGGGTGGGGGGCGCGCCCCCCCCCCGCAACGGTCGCGGGTGGCGGTTAACGGCCGCGCTGCTGCCGCCGCCTGGTGACTGCCCGCCGCGGCCCCGGGCAGGGTGTGGGGGGTGTAAGGGGGGTGTAAGGGGGGTGTAAGGGGGGTGTAAGGGGGGTGTAAGGGGGGTGTGGGGGCGGCTCCCCCTCAGCGCTGTCCCTGCCCCGCCGCAGGACAGGACCCGTCGCGGGCGGCCCCGCGCGGACACGGTGCGGGACCTGATCAGCGAAGGGGAGCACTCGTCCAGCAGGATCCGCTGCAACGTCTGCAACAGGGTGTTCCCGCGGGAGAAGTCGCTGCAGGCGCACAAGCGGACACACACCGGTAAGCGGGGGGCGTCCCGTGGCCCCCTCACCCCCACCGCCCCTGCTCCTGCCCGTCCTTCCCAGCCGCAGTTAAAGTGTAGCCGTGGGAGGAGAAAGTATCTTGTAAAGCCCTTCCTGGCCGGCACAGCGCGATACTGTGTGGCTGGAGTGCTGGGTGAAAAGTTGAGATGCTCTCCGAGTCGCTGTCCGCCTCTCCCTCCTGCTGGCTGCTTGCTTAGAGTCTGCTTTCTGCCGTGGAGGTGTCACGCTAACTTAGCGACACGCACACACAAAGCAGCTCCAGAAGTAACATACAGTGAAACGGAGATCCAGCGTCAACTCATTCAATACCCTCATGAACTAGAAATTAAAGGGAAATGCTGTTTTTCATTCCAATCAAATACATTTTCCTTCAAGCTTGTGTGTTTTGTTGTTTTCTTTTGTGTTTTTTTTTTTAATATGCTGTGAGCTATCGTGGTTCACAATACCACACAACAAAGTGAAAAGCTGGCTCCCACAGTCTCTTTTTCTGACTCTAAGGCAAATCTTGTTACTAACACTAAGCACAAGTTTCCTCATGCTCTTTGGTCAAAAGATGTTTTCATTTCACTTGCTTATGTTAGGTGTCAAACTTCCATGTTAGATATGGATTGCTTAGTTGAGCAGAACTTAGCCTGATGTTACTCCAGTAAGTCATGGTTACCCTCACTTTGTCATCCTTTCTGAGCGGTGGTGGCGTGGCACACCTGTGGTTCTCTTGAGACAGAGAGGAGATATCTGAATTCTTCAGATTCTTCATCTGAATTCTTCACATTGAAGTCTGCATGGAGCAGTCGTTTTTGAAAGCTGGTTGGAGAATGCTTTTTTGGCTGGCATAAGCTTATTTTGATACTTTCACTTTTCCAACTTTTTCCAAATAATTTACTGAAACTATAGTGATATACTTCTGCAACTTCATATATTGCTACATTGTTGACCTTGGTTATTTTACTCCAATTTAACCTATGGTAATGATAATATATATACATATATATAATGATATCATAATATTATATCATTTATATCCATTATGCTATATCATAATATTAGATATATCATATATACTATGATATAATATTATTTTATGTATAATATATATATGGTTACAACCTGAATTACATTACTTTAATTATTTCACTTCGTATGTTTCCTGCTCTGTAGGTGCATAGTTTCATGGGACAAAGGTTGTGTAGTACTCTGCAAGGGTCTTTAAAAAAAAAAAAAAAAAAAAAAAAGCACATGGAAAACCTATAACTTCATTTCTATGGAGGAAAAAGTGTTATCCAGTAGCATTGAATATCTCTGTGGGTTGAGAGTGGATCTTGGCTGTCTGGTACACTAATGCTTTCTGAGTAGACAAGAGTGCCTGAGTGGGTAAATGAAGAGCTTGCTTGTGCAAATATCAAGCCAAGGATGACTAGTGGATACTATGACTCCTCTTTTATACACAGCTTTCACAAATCTGTTCTGTTATTATTTTTAAGGTGAAAGGCCTTATTTGTGTGACTACCCAGACTGCGGGAAAGCCTTTGTTCAGAGTGGGCAGCTCAAAACTCACCAGCGTCTCCACACAGGGGAGAAGCCTTTCATCTGCTCAGAGAATGGTGAGCCAGAGAATGACCCGCGGCTTTCAGAGTTAGGGTCAGCCTACTGCTGTAAATGTGTGCGCATCAGCAATCTATCAAAGCTTTGGCTCTTAACTTTGGAAGAGCTGCTAGAGATGAGAGTAGCCAGACAATCTGCATCAGCATCCAAGTGTGAATTGAAGGTCTGCATATGTTACTATATAATGTCACTAGTGATGTCTGTTGATACTGATGTATAAAATGACTGGGCGTGTTACAAACCTTGCCAAGTAGAACTTGTTTTCAACTGTATCTAGGCTCTTCTAGAGTGAGGAAAGGCTGGATTTGGCAGCCTCTTCATCCCACAGATATTATGGTTGCTCAGCAGTTGACTGCTTTCCTTACCGTGTCTTTCATTGGCATTTTCTGTTTTTAAGGCTGTCTGAGCAGATTCACTCATGCAAACCGTCACTGCCCCAACCATCCATATGCCCGCCTGAAGAGGGAAGAACTCACTGACAGCCTGAGTAAAAACCAGACAGCTGACAATAAAGACGTGGCTGAGTGGCTAGCAAAGTAAGTTCCCATACGGTGTGATCTTTGTCTAGATAGTCATAAAAGTGGCCTGAGAAAACACTTTATTCTTAGGAGGAGAAAAACAAAAGAAAACAAACCAGAATCAGCTGTGCCTCTAGCATTACTTGTTCCAGCCTTGCCTGTCCTTTAAGAACTATTGACTCTAAGTTAAGACAAAGTTCCTCATGAGAAATGTCTTTTTTTTAAATTTTATTTTCTCTGCTTAAATGTGTGTTTTTGCTTGAATAACACTTGATAATAACTTGTTAGTACTGCAGCCTTCCATCTGAATTTGCATTTATATGAGGGACATGGATTGTGTGTGCACACAGGTAGACTGTTGGGGGATACCATGGAGCAGAATCGTCTGTCACAGATGTTTGCTTGGGCACTTCCCTTTTTGGCATTTTAAATGTAGGTTTCTGACAGCTTAAATACTACCATATAAGGGCTGAAAGATAAAACAAAGTGCAGTGCTCAGTCGTGTGCCAAGTTTAAAAAAAAAAAAAAAAAAGCCCTTGAGTCTTTTTTACTAGCTTTGAATGGGTTGGCACATGAGTTGTATGTATTTCAAAAACGTTCATCACATTTGATTTTCTAGATACTGGGAGACTAGAGAACAGCGTGCTCCTGCTTTGAAAAGTAAAGTAATCCAGAAAACCGATCAGGAACAGCAGGACCCAATGGAATATTTTCAGTCTGATGAAGAGGATGGTGAAGAGAAAAATAGTGCTCGCTCAGCTGCTCGCCGCCGCCGCCTCCAGGAACAGCGTGAACGTATGCATGGTGCTTTGGCTCTCATTGAGCTTGCAAACCTAGCTGTGGCACCACTCCGGCAGTAGATAGGGAAGAAGTTTGCCTATACAAATTACTTCCTGGTGGTACTTAACCAGTTAGATCCTGGGCATAAGCTAAGCACCTTATTTGCTTATCACAGGCTGCTATTCTGTAGAATTTATGAAGAATGTTGTTACCCCATAACATGGGGTGAGAGAATTGCACTTTTTGTAAGGTTAAAGATAGATGTAAAGTTTCTAAGTATTTTGTAAATATAGGGCTGCGTAATGCAGGGTTAACAAAATACATGTGGGAAGCTAGATTTTGCAAGGTTAACTCATTTATTTGAAGCAGTTTTCACAGGAAGCACTAATCACAGTGTTTCACTAATCAGTGTTTGTGATTAGCAGAATGGTACACGTGGCCAAAGAAGGCTGACAAAAAGAAAAGTATTTATCTGAACTATTTAAGCAAATTTATATAAAGTGGTAGGTCTGAAGATACTGTAAGCACCAATGAAACCACGTTTTTCTAAATGTCAGTTTTACCTAGTATCACTGAGGTGTAGAGGGCAAAGCTTAGTTATTAAAACTTGTAGAGGGGAAGAAGCTGCTTCATGCAGGTGAATTATAGAATAGTTCAGGATCTTCGCTGTGACTGCTCCAGGTATGAGGATGACTTTGCTCTTTTACGTGTTCTGGTTTGATCTCTGGTTTGAATTTATTGGTAGCACTTGTTATTCCTAGCATATGATGTTAGGAACTTTTGCACATTGTTGTGTTTATCTGAAAATGATTAGTCTTGCAAAGTCTAGACAAAGTTAAACAATTGGTGATATTTTTGTCTGATATTTTTTGGCCCCGTAATGATTTGGCACTTGTTTTCCTTAATAAGGGGGTGTTTACAGGGTGGTAAGGATTTGTAGTAAACTATTCTAGATCTCCTATTAGCAAACACTAAGTTTTAAAGTCTTGCTTTTACATGGTTACTAGCAAATAGAAGCCTCCGTATTTTCTGTGCATAAAGCCACCTTATTGCTTTACTTACGGATAACATGCCCATTTTGTGTTCACTAACTTTAGCACAGCTATCAATTAAACACTGCAGGAAAATATTCACTATACAACTAGAAAATAGGCTTCCAAAGATAGTTACAAGTGTGTTAACAGTGTGATTTCTTGTACGTCCCAAATAAATGAAGTTACAGAACGCTGCTTAGTAATATCAGATGCTGGTATAAGATGTTTAGTGGGATATTTTGTTACTTCATGAATGTTGTATACTTTTTGAATACCGTCGTCTTATGGTAATCTTGTTCTGTATTTTGCTTGGAAGGCAACCAGAGATTTGTAATATGCTAACAAGATGTTATCTTCAAATTGAACTTTTTTCTTTTTTTTATTTTTGCAGTTGAGCTACTGCTTGAGGGGATATTAATAATTCATTTACTGACCTGCTTGCTTTTAACTCTTCCTTCTCATTGAAGGTCAGGAAATTCAAATGAGAAGGGAAGCCACTTTCCCTCTTGTTTAAGCAAGAGGAAAATAGCATTTTATTAATCACTTGATACAGACTGACTAGATGCCTACAGCTGTTCCAGAATAGTAAGTCTATTTTTCCACCAGAAACTGCAAGTGTTGTATTATGTTCTTTGATGGTTGATAACCTGTTGTGGTAGAAAATTGTATTAACTGTGTTTGTTTAACATCATATGTTCGTGATGCACTTGACTAAGGAGTCATTGAATATTTAAACAAAAACCACCACCAACAAAACAAACAACAAAGATCATGTTTGTGGAATGTAATTAATTTTGTACCAGTTATACGGTTTAACTTCTGTTTTCAGCTGGCATCAGGCTCATTTATTTGTTTTAAGTCTTTTTGGGCTTAAAAGTTTGAAACACTTTGGAGTCATTGTGGGCTCCTTAGTCTATGTAAAACTGGTAATTCAGGGTATAGATTTAGAATGTGACAAATTGGTTTTGACTGTTCAGTTGGCTATGTGTAAAGACTCTGATCTCAAAATGAGTCCTGAGTGTAAATCTGTTGTATTACCAAGTTGTAACTTAGAATTGTTTGAGTAGTATTTCACTGGGCTCAAAATCTTCAGCCCTGTTGTAATCACCAGCTGGTTGCAGGCTGAAGTCATAACTTCACTGGTTGATTTTGTTTTCTTCAATCAGCTGTAAGGTTTTGGACAACTTGCAGAATATTTCTTTCAGTATGACAAGCATGCTGAATTCTACTTAGCTGTAGAGCAGATTCAGACAGCTCTAGCTGTTTTGTGTAGTGACAGGTTTGGGTTAAGAAACCAAGTTAAAAAATTAAGGTGTGGAAGATTGCTTTTTGTATTATAAAGAAGTGATTACACACAAGAATCTTGAAGGCTAAATTGTTGTTTGGCATGACAACAGCAGAAGAGTGAATGTGCCGTTATTTCAATAGATGCTTTAAATAAAGAGTTGGTTTAATTTTCAAATCCTGTGTATGTGCGTGCTGTTTATAGTAATTCTTAGTATTTCCATCCCTCCTTGTTCTTATAACCCCATCTGCCCGACCTGTGGCAGAACAAAGAGGACCCGTGTCCCTCCTCTTTTCCGAGGAGACGGCTCTAAAACAAAGCAAGCCGGTGGCTCGCAGCTCGGGGCTGGCGGCGGCTCCGGGGGAGGGCTTCCCGCGCCCGGCGCCTCCTCAGCCGGCTCCGCCAGGGGACGCCCTGCGGCCGCCGCCGCTGCTCGGGCCGGGCGGGCGGGCGGCCCTTCCCCGCGGGCCGTGCCGGGCCGGGCCGGCTGCCCCGAGCTGCCCGGGGCGGGGCCGTGCCCGCCGCATGCCCGCCATGAGCAGCGGGCAGAGCCCCGGGCAGGCCGCGGAGGGGGCCCCCGCCGCCGCCCCCGCGGTCTCGGCGGTGCCCAGGGTGCTGTCTGCACTCTTCTACGGGACGTGCTCCTTCCTCATCGTGCTGGTCAACAAGGCCCTGCTCAGCGCATACAGGTGAGCGCCCCGCGGCTCGGCACTGCCCAGCGGGGAAGGTCGGGGCTGAGCGGCTCTCGGGGGCGGCTGCCAGCTGAGAGCCTGCTGCTGGTGCTGGCAGGCACGCTGCCGTCCTGGAAGCACCTCTCCTTTATAAGGTAGACAAAGATAAAAAGCAGAGCCTGAGAAGGTCTCCGGATTGTAAAAGTGCCTCTGACATGGTCAGGAGGTAGCCCCTTGCAGAATTAGAGACCTGCAGCTGTGAGCTGTGCACCGTTCATGTTCTTTGCATAGTTTGCTTCGTTTTTGCTGTCTTTTAGTTCACAGTGGGCTAAGAACAGACACAGAACTGAACACACACAAAAAATAAATCTAGCAGTTACTTTCTAACATGTAAAAGCCATATATTGCCTCTCCCAAAAATGATCTATGAGGCAATTTATGGTTTTGTTTCCTAGTGGTTTTCATCCCACAGTCTGCAGCTCCCTGTAAATCCCAGGTGTACATCTGGGACGTCCACGAAAGATAATCAAAGACAGCATGGCCATCAATAAACCTGAGTTTTGTACTACGAGCTTACAGCATTGCTGGGAACTTCTAGGGCTCTGCAAGACCAACAAGATTTGGAGAAATCTGTGTAGTACGTGTGAATGAAGTCTTCACACTTAAGTGTTGCAGCTATGAGTACAAACTAAAATACAGTTTAGATGTCACATGATTATCAAGTCCTGTTTCTTCTGCTTTTTTTTTTTTTTTTTTGCTTTTTTTTTTTTTTTCTGGTGCTGCTAATACCTGTTTCCTGGAACCTCTTTCACTGCTGGCAGTTCTTGTCCTTTATTTGTGTTATGACTCCAGTGTCCCCAAGAACTTCCTGCTGTGCCTCAGGGTATTTCTTTCTTCTGTTAATGCCGTGTTCCTGTCCCAGTGGTGCTCACTGGAGAAATGCAGTGCACCAAGCAGCTCTTGGTGGCCTCTGTGTTAAATCACTGCAATCTCAAGGAATTTGTGATAAGGGAAAATTACAGAGCTTATTGAGAAGGTACGCCCCATATCGGGCATTTGTTTGTACAGGTGTGCACAGAGAATGAAACAGATTTTATTTCAGATTCCCTAGATGCAGATTTATGCATGACCATCCCTGACAATGTAGTCCAGCAAAATGCTGCATGGCTCCTTGGAGGAAGCAACTGTTTGTTAGGTTTGGGGAGCAACTTGGCACCTGAGGATTCCGGTCAGAGAGGCTCCAAACACATTGCTGGTTAAAACATAAAGCAGACAACCATACTAAATAATTTATTTGCTTGAATTTCATTATGCATACAAAAAATTAGCTGTTGCTACTGCATCTTTTTTTTTGTCTTTTTTTTTTGAAGTAGGTTTAGGGGGAAAAATGGAGACTCTCAAATTCTTGGGGTGTCCTAAAGTTTCTGCTTTCTTACTGGTCAAGAATCTGTGCTTTGAGCAGGAGCCAACTGAAAGGGTACAGTAGGAATTTAGCCATTTTAGCAGACAATAGATGTTTCTACAACATTTACATAGGATTTTTTTTTTTCAAGTACATATTGTTAGTGTGTTTGGACTGTGGAGATAAGCTTTCAGGTTAGGGCAAGTACAACAGGTTTAGCTTACTGCACAGCGTATGTGAGGCCACTCAAAACCTTATGCTTTGTTAGAGTTCTCCAAGTATGTAATCTTCGCTCAAAATACACCAGAACTAATTAGCTCTTTAGAACTGATCAGCAATGCCTGTGAGGTATCATTTGTACCTGGCTTGTATTTTGCTGCACAAATAGGATATTAAGACTCCAGTAAGTGTTGCAGGTCCTGAGCTCTTCTGAAAGACTGGTCAGTCATCCACATGTACTAAATTTAAACACCTCTTTTACGGTTGTTGGATTTGGCTTTATTGGTGGTGTGGTGGTTTTTTTTGGTTTTGGTTTTTGGTTTTGGTTTTGCTTTCCTCAGTATTAAATGTCTGTTTGTGCTTTTCAGGTTCCCATCACCAATATTTCTTGGAATTGGACAGGTATGTTCACATATAAAACATTCTACATGTACTTATTATTTTGTAAGTTCAACTGTTGTTAACATAGAGATATATTTTAGGGGGGAAATCTCTCTTACAGTGCACTGCTTCTTTTGTTAGATGCACTGTAAGAGGACTTTGTTTTAGTGAGATGGAGGAAGTTTCAGTCCAAGTCAAAAACATTGACTAGGAAGAGTGACATAAAGAACTGGAAATGACGTTTATTTTCTCCCATAGAACTCGGCAGTTAAGAGATACAGCCTCCCAAACTGTCAAGATTGCTACCAATGGCCTAGATGCTTTTAGAGTCCTGAAGCATTTGTGGAATATGTGTAGAAACACTGCCTCCCTCATCTGTAGACAAACAGTGTTTCCTCATAAATTTCTTCCACTTTCTCCATCAGTTTTCTGGTAGGACTACCATAAGCTTTTGGTTCTTAGCTACCTTATTAGCTTGTGGGCAATTTGCAGTGCCTCAGCAGGAATACTTGGTGTTGTAGTTAGGTATCGTAGTAAAACCAAAGTTCAAGTATTCATGTACGTGGCCCATAAAGAGGAAGTGTGTGACCCTGCAAAGGGGTGGCTTGGAAAGATGGAGATTTATCTCAAACATCGTTTAGGCAGATACATTTAAAAGAGAGGATTTATTTTCTGCCAAGGTTACAAGCTAAGAATTAGTGAGGAAGAGGGGAAAACAGGTCTGACATCTCTGCTGCGTAGTGCTGAAGTGAGTAAAAGGTCTTGTAAAATTTGCTATATGAGAGGGGGGAGAAAAATGGGGTTTCGTACTTTCAGACTGCTAAAACAACTGCACGTCTTTGGAAAGCTCATGTTTCCGTGGAAGCCAAAGAATAGAAATCCTTCATATTAAGGGCAATGGTATGTATGGGCAACGGGGCAATGGCCTTTCTTTGCAGAACCTAAGACTCAAGGCCGTTCCTTTGTTTTATTTACCAGTTCTTCCAAGATTTCCCTAAATGCTTTGAAAAGAGCATGTAAGATGATATAATTCTTCAGTCACTAAAACATAACTCCACCCTGTCCTTGTAGGTAGCCAATTATTTTATTTTTATTTATTTTTTATTATATTTTTGTATATAACATTTAGTCTAACATTTTTTCCTCCCTGTGGCCAGCATTAAAGGCTTGTGAATGCTCAAATATTCTCCCTCATTCTCAACATACCTTTATTACTTATTGTTCACTCTGTCAATAGACAGATCAATGCATGCCCCCCCCCCAAAAAAAAAAAAAAACAACAACAAAAAAAAAACCTGTAGGAGTTATTCATCAGACCAAACAACACTGTGTGAAAATAGCATGATAATGCTGGGATCATCTTCTTAATTTTCTTGGCTCCTTAATATACACTTTTTTTTTTTCACAAGGTACAACTTTTTTTTGAGCCATAAAACTTATATATATTGTACTTTAAATAAATAACAAGCAAAATCAATGAGAATAAAAAGTTACTCCTGTTTATTCACTACATTCTGTGCTGTTGAAAAATGTACATAATACATAACATCTCTCTATTGCTCTGCAGTTACCTTAAAGGAGTTATAGCCAAGTGAGGATCAGCCTCTTATCCCAAGCACAAGAGGAAATGGCCTTAAGTTGTGCCAGGGGGGTGTAAGGTGGTTATAGGAAAAGTTTCTTCAGTGAAAGCGTTATGAGGCATTGGAACAGGCTGCCCAGGGAAGTGGTAGTGTCACTGTCCTCAGAGGTCTTCAAGAAACGTGTAGATGTGGTGCTTAGGGACATAGTTAACTGGTGGACTTGGCAGAGCTAGATTAAAGGTTGGACTAGGTGATCTTGGAGTCTTTCCCAGCCTGAATGATTCTATAATTTTGTCAAATGCATAGATTTTGTCTTTAAAGCAGTTCTTCCATCACGCATTATGGTTTTGTTCTTATATGACTTCTTATTTATTTTTTTTCTCTTTGTTTAGATGGCAGCCACTATACTTATCTTGTATATATCAAAATTAAATAAGATTATCCACTTTCCTGACTTTGACAAAAGTATACCTGTGAAGGTAAGCATTACCTAGCGTGTGATAGTAGTAAGAAAATGTTACCTTCTGTAATGGATGTCTTTCTGCAGGACCTGAAAACTGTTTTCAGGTAGGAGACAAGACAGGAAAGAAGAACAGAAAACAATTTTGTATTTTTAAATCAAATGTGATTTTCTGTATCTTTGTTTCATTCAATGTTGGATTAGATGATTTCCATTTCATTGCAGTATTCTTGCCTTCAGTCTGAAGAGAAATGTAATTTGGTATGCAATACATGGGAAAGGATGTTGTACTTCATACAGCTGGATAAACTTTGTCAGGTTCCTGAAGTACTTTGTTGGATGTGTACAGCTCCCTGCAGGATCAGTGCAAGATCTGTGTCTATAAGAGCAAATCTAGTACACAACATGAAGAGAGAAATGCTGCTTGGAAATTTGAATGGGGCATGTAATATAGCAAGAGAAAA